TTCTGCCAAGAAACTTGATCATTTGCTCTCAAACCAATCAACCAAGTTCTCAGCTTTTGAAGTTCTTGCTGCTATAATTTGGAAATCCTTGTCGAAAATTAAGGAAAACTCAGAGCAGACAAGAAGGGTGACAATTTGCACAAATTCCCATGAGAGAGAATATGAAATTCCAAGTAACAACATGGTTTTGAGCACAGTTGAAGCTGATTTCTTGGTCACAGAAGCTGATGTCTCAGAGTTGGTGGAGCTGATTTTGAACAGAAGGGCAGAAGAGAAAGGAATAGTTGAGGAAATGAAAGGGTTGGAGAGTGGGAGTTCAGACTTCATAGCATATGGAGCAAATTTGGCATTTGTGAATTTGGAAGAGGCAGAGCTTTATGGGCTTGAATTGAAGGGACAAAAACCAGTTTATGCAAATTATTGCATTAATGGGGTTGGTGATGAAGGGGTTGTTTTGGTGCTTCCAGGGCCAAATTATGGCAAAGAGGAAGCTAATATTCGTGGCGGCCGGCTAGTGACTGTGGTTCTGCCTGAAAATGAAGTTGCACAGCTGAAAACTGAGCTCCAAAGAGAATGGAGTACTGCTTGAAAACTGCTCTAAGTGTTTGTGTATCAAGTTTGATCCCATTCTCGTGCATTAGAATAATTTAGAAATCGCTCTTGGGGAAAAAAAAAGAAGTTATTTGAAAATTTGAAAGGGAAACAATTCAAGATAGTGCAAAGTTTGTCCCCATTTTATATTGACTAGTCCTGCTCATCTAAAGACCTAAAAATGAGAACCTGTGAAGACTTTTTGATAAAAGCCATTGGATAACGACGCATATAGTTAGTGGTCTTGAAAAATAAAACACGTTTAATGCTTGTCCCTTCCCTACAATTCCCAATTAGTGCTAACCATGTTTTTTTTGTGTTGGTTTGCAAATTAAAAGATGTGTCGTTTGAGCACCTCCATCCCAAAAGGTAAGGGTAAGGCAAGGTTTGACACTATTCACGTCAATAGTGGTAGTCTTGTTTTTTGTTTTTTTGTTCCACCTCAAAGGGTAAGGGCAAGGGCAAACACTATTCACTTTACTTTTTTTTCTTTTTCTTTTTTATACTTGACCATTAATTTTGATAAAATTTTCAGATAATATTTTCGGTTGCCACGTGTCACTATTTATTATAAAATTCTCACCTAAAATTTCAGATAACATTTTCGGATAAATTTTTTGAATTAAATTTTCGGATAAGATTTTCGGTTTCCATGTGTCCATCAAATTTCAGATAAGATTTTTGGATGAGATTCTCGGCTGCCATGTGTCTTATTTCAGATAAGATTTTTGGATATTTATTAAAATATATATATAATCCCATATTTCATATAAGTAGTAGAAAAATATGAGTGGAGAGTAAAAAATATTAGAAGGAGAATAGTTGTATGAAGATTTGGTGTGGAAAGTGAATAAAATGGTTAGGTATTTATAGGGAAAAAAATTCAAAAAAATTTTGTATTAAAAAAAAAAATCAATTTTTTTAGCCAAAAAAATCAAGTCCGTCAGATTTCTGGACAAAAACTGATCGGAGCATTCGAGAAACGCCACATGGTGTCTTCTAGTTGGGAGCTGTTAGCGCTGGCATCATGCGTGATGTCATGCTAACATCAGTGGCTTCGGGCTAGAGCCCAGTCGAGAATTGCCCTTGAACTTGCCCGGGCTTCAAGTTGCGCATTGGAGGGGGGAAACTGGGCTTGGTGGGCCTGTTGCCAATGTTTGGGTGGAGCGGCAGAGGTGCTCTTAGATTAATTCAATGGCTTTTATTAAATAGGTCTTCACAAATCCTCATGTTCAGGTCCTCAAGTGAGCGGGAGAGAAAAAGACGCCCCACTTAAAAGTTAAAACAAGTTTAAAAAAAAATAAAATAAAATGCTTAGGACTTGTTTATTTTAAAAAAAAATTTCCTGGGATGGAGTTTCGAGTATTTTCTATGAATATAATTCTCAATTTAAGAAATGGTTTGAACTTTTTTTTCCCAGAGTAATAATGCATAAATATTTTTCAAAATAAAAATATGATTAAATATTTTTTCCGAAGTAATAATATGAGTAAATGTTTTCTCAAGTAAAAAGAATAATTAAACACTTAAAATTCAATACATTAGTTGTTGCTGACATTTATATAGATGCAAAGAAAGAAATCAAAAGGCACAAAACATAACAATATATATATGGGAGCGAATCCGTGGCACCATATTTTGACACAAGTTCTTCACCATTAGATTAACACATTATAAATGGCTGAGATTAAATCTCACAACTAATTTATTATTATCTTCTTAATAATAATTTTATTCCAAAGTTTTTATTATTTTATTAGAATATTAAGATTGGCACAGGTTCCAAAACTTTCTCTCTCTTTCTCCATGTAAATCACCACATCTCTCTTCCTCCATGCCCACCCTTTATCAATCACACGTACAACCTAAACTCTCCATTAGATGCTTTGGCATCTTGGGCGAAGAGGATGATGCACGAAGAGGTCTGGGTGGACCGACCCTCATCAGTCCTAACTCATGTGGATGGGCTACCATGCCCTCCAAGAAACCGAAGACGAAACAAAGGCCATAAGTCAGCTGCATATTTTTTTCGGAGAGCTCTGTTTTGGTTTATGTTTCCTGTTGTTCTGGTTTTGTTTCTTAAAATGAAAGAGGTTTGTTAAAAAATACTTGAATTAATAATTAAAAATCATAGGAAAATTCTTAATTCTTTAGTTAATTACTTGTCTAATCATTGAGCCTCGGTAAAACTGCATAATGGGTGGTAAGATGTGAGATAATTGCTTGCGAATAATCTGCAGGGGTTGGTTAAACTAATCCATTGAACATGTTGTTCAAGCTTTCAGTTTGAATAATTTGATTAACTTTGAGGCACTGAAGATATGATCTTGATGAGCCTTGTAGGAATTGGGTTATGATTGTTGGCCTGATGAAGGATGGGAAGAGATTTTTTTTAATTTATAAATGGCGGTTGTTGATTGTTGCTAGTATTCTTGATTGATATAGTCAATGGTGGCCATGGAGGAAGAGGGATAGAAATATAGCCAACGGTGGGCATGGAGAAGAGACATGGAGAGAGAATCAAGGGAACTATGCAATTCATAATTAGTTTATTAAAATAATAGTAATTTTAGGTAAAAAGTATTATTAAAAAGATAGTAATAAATAGTAGTGAGATTTAATCTCAGCCATTTATAATGTGTTAATCTAATGGTTAAGAACTTGTGTCAAAACTTATGTCAAAAATATGGTGCCACGGATCCGCCCCCATATGGTTATTTATTTATTTATTTTATGGATGCAACTGTTATTTATTGAGGACAACATTCCAGAGACTGTCATTCACCTTTCCCTATCTCAATCAATCTTTCTATTGTAACCTCATCTCAGCTCTATTATTCCGTTTTTTTTTCTTTTTCATTTTCTTTCCTCAGGAGAGTATCTACAGCTTTACAAGCTGCAAGTTCCTCATGTTAATACAAATCCTTACTGTGGCAACCAAGCATGAATTAAATAGCTTGTGCCCATTTCTGAACAGCCAACCAACCCTGGTAGATTCTAATCCACAATCAACAGCAAAACGAAAATGCAATATCTTTCCATTGGCCAATAAGGCAAAATTGATACCTATTCTCCTGACAAACACTTAGCATGATTAATACAAAAAGATAAAAACTATGCTGACTTGCAATATCAGTTAAGTGATCAATAAGCAAAATCTACAACAAAACACTGAAACATGTTCAGTATCAAGGGCTGCATATTAATCCAAAACTTATTCACTCCATAGTTCGACATTGTTTTAGACACGACAACACACAGATTGGAATATAACTAAAGGACGCCAATTAAAAGCCCAGAAAACCACTACAGGAATGATAGTCTTCAACCTACTTACTATAAACGACATGAGTTCATCTCGACATGCATGTAAGAACAGCAACATACAATAACTTCATCAAGTTTTATAGCCACTCTGTTTATTATCTTATGGCAAACGGGATTTTCACTTTTAGTTTTTTAATAGGAGGCACACAAGAAATGATTTTCATAGAAACCATATATGAAACAGTAGTCATTTGTGGCTTGCTACTAAAAGCCCCCATATGAAAGTAGTCCCAGGGCTCATACGTAACTTAACATTATATTCTTAGGCAGCACAAAAGCATCTCTTTTAAAAATTATTGTCACTGAAAAAAGGAGAGGCACACTGATATACAAAATCATAAGCAGAAACATAAGCAGGAAACAGACTTGCTCAATTCTGGAATATAGAGAATACAAAGTTTCAAATACTCACCTTTGTTCGTTTTGGGTTGCTGTCGAACACACGCTGCATCCCACTGTCAGTGATCCTTACACAATGCACCAGAGTTGAGGCTTGAAGACTGCCTTGAGCCCTGTTACCAGAGCATTATCAGTGATTGTCCCATTCAACGGCCAATCAAAGATAATACTCCGCCATAGAAGAGTGATGGGTCACTTCTAACGTCCAAATGGAATGTATACCTTCCATACGTCCAAATGGAATACCTGAATCCTAAAGATCTGTAATTTTTTCAAGTTATAGAATAAGTAAACAAATTTAGAAAAAGGTTAAGCATAATAATAACAATAATTTGAAAGAGATGAACTTGGTAAGTATCAGTCAGTCGAAAATCCTCTCAGGATTTAGCCCAAATACAAATCCGTGCAATTAATACATACCTAAACAGTTGAATTTGGATTTGGGAGTCCAAATCCAAATCCACCCTACAAATAATACATTTACGAGGATTCATGGTCAAGAAAATTGTGATATTATAAAAAAGGAATTAAAAAGAAAATAAATAAAATTGTTCTATAAATTCCATATAACAAAAGGACAATTCACATGCCAAAAAAAAAATATTGTACACAACCATTAAAGTGTTGAGGTAAAACTCGAACAAAATCTTGATCTACGAAGATCACTCGGTGAAGCCAATCGCCTATGCATCGTTGTCTACCAACATTCTAGATAATCCCTGATTTTCCATCATTTTATCTATGATTTTCTTCAGTGCAGGTGCACTCACCCCGCACTTCTGATCAACAAAACAAGATCTACCTTCTTCAGCTGCCTTGCAAAGCTGGGGGTCCAATGGTACCTTCCCCAGAAAGGGCACCCCCATTTCCCTGCACATTCTTTCAGCTCCACCACCGCTACTATCAAACACTTCAGTGCAAGCTATTATGTTTAAAAATTCTGGTGCTCTCTCTTTCAGATGCTCCCTTGCCCATTCTGTGACGTCTATTTGCTCACCGGTCTCTGTCATCCTCAAAAATTTGAAATCCATCACTGGCTGGCACAAGCCACTCATGTTCTCAACAATCCCAAGGACCTGAACCCCAACTTTCTTGCAGAAACTTACTTCTTTCCGAACATCAATCAGGGAGACCTGTTGTGGAGTGGTGACTATGATTGCACCATCTATTGAACCAGCATCGAGGTATTGAACAATTGAAATGTGCTCATCTGAGGTCCCAGGAGGAGCATCAACTACTAGAAAATCAAGCTCACCCCAATAAACATCCTTCAAGAATTGCTTAATGAGCGCATTTTTGCGCGGTCCCCTCCATATAACAGCTTCATCAGGTTCTGGAAGCATGAACCCAATTGACATGACCCCAAGGTTGGACTCAACATAGACAGGAGACCAGCCAAGGTTGCTCTGGTGGATTTCTTGGCCTTCTAGGCCAAGCATCTTCGGGATGCTCGGGCCACAAATGTCAATGTCAAGAAGACCCACCTGGAAGTCCATAGCAGCTAGTGCAAATGCAAGTTGGGCAGAGAATGTGCTCTTGCCAACTCCACCTTTTCCTGATAAAACCAGTATCTTATGCTTTACAGTGGCCATCCTTTCTGCAATTGCAACCACGTCTGTACAAAAGCACATCATCCTTTGAGTCATATAAGATGGTTTTTTATGGAGGAAAAAGAATGTTGACATGGAACCAAAACTAGCACAGTTGCACGAATGAAGAAAATCACAGAGGGGTTATTAATATTTTATCCCCCTCCCCGCAACAACACCACCATCTAATAAGGTATAAGCCACATAATTACAAAATTACATTCGAACTTTGGAGGTAGCACATAAAATATAAGAAGAAACAAGCTTGAGATTATTTTGATGCATATGAAGTGTTTTAATTTAATTCATAGCTCCAAAGAAATGCTACATATCAAGTGCCATCAAATGAAAAAATCATGCTATTATTCAGATGTGCAAAGATTACTAGGGCCAAATTATTCATGATTGATCCGAATCAACAATTTCATGACATTCACATAAAAGCATCCACTTTGGCTTTTTCATCTAAATGCTTATCATACTTGAATAACTCAGAGAAACACAAAAAAAAATAACTTACAAGAATCACTGGCCATAATTAACCAAAAAACAGTTGAAGTTTGCAGCTAAAGCTGAATAAAAGCATAGCTTTAGCAGTGAAAGAGTGAAAGGAAACCTGGGTCAGGCCCCTTTGGAGCAGTAGCACAAATTTGTTGATTTGGGCATCCTTCGCATGCATCAGATTTTCCAGCAGAATCGGACTGAGGACCTGGACAATCAAAAAAAAAAAAAAAAAAAAAAAAAAAAAAAAAAAAAAAAAAAAAATAAAAACAAAAATAATTTATTTAAATAAAAATAATAATAATAAAATAATAATTATTATTATTAAAAAATGAAGAAGAAATTAAGACAGCCCAACTGAACAAAACCTAGTAAAACCTTGAGAATTGAGATTATGAAGAAAGACTTACGTTCATTGGCATTTTCGGGAATTTCACCATTCTCCATGATGATTGGGGCTTTCGCTTTTCCTTTTAAGTATTGGCTTCGTTTTACTGTAAATGCCTTTGATTTTGAGGGAGGGAGAGAGTGTCAGAATAAAGAAAAGGGTCTTTGCTACAGAAAAACTGAGATCATGTGGCAGCTACAGTCATGCTATATAAGGGGACATGACGATGTAACATATTCTAGCATGTTCAAAGCTTGCATGTGCACTGTACTATACCTATTAAATTAAAAGATTAAAAAGAAGCAGCAGAAGAGGGGAAACACAATCTGGAGGTTGGTATTTTGACGATTTTAGAGAATCACTTATTTTCTGCTGAACAAAGAGAAATGCCCCTGTTTTGACATGCACCAAAGTATCATGTTTTGCCTTTTACTTTTGCTTGCTAACAATAGAACTATAACACCCCGGGGGATTAAACCTAACCCACTTTCTATGCTGATTTTTAAGAAGGTTCAATGCCCTTGTTTTGACAATAACCAAAGCAGCTATCACCTAAGTAACTCTCTCGACGACCAAACATCTTCAATTCCTCATATTGCTGAATTTTGTCCTATCTATGTGAAACACCTAAAGTAATTTAAGAAACTAAGACATGCAGATGACTGGAACTTGGCCTTAAAAAAAAGAGATGGAGAACTGGGATTTGGGAAGTACAGGGAGGGAAACAAACAAGGTTAAGATTACTGTTTTTTTCCCTAGAAGGGGCTTAAAAACAAAATTTTCTTTACAGCTGCATAGAGAACTATAGAGGGAGGCGTACACAATTAGTGTGATTGCAATTGTTCAATCACAGAGTAACAGAAAGTTCAAGACATCATAATATCATAACTATTCATTTTGGACAAATATGTCACCTCTTCATGAAAGTTTGGTTTTAGGTCCATTAGACTTTCTCCCTCTCTAATTATTATCAGATATTTAGTATAACTTCTATTTTTTCACTATGGGATGCTTGGGACATGACATTTGTTCGGCAGCTAATAAACTTCAGAAGCTCTGAGATTGAGAGTCAGTGGATTTAAGACAGATCCGAAAAGCACAAGCAATAAGTGAATAATGAGAAGCATGAGGTTACACAACCAACCCATTAGCAATTTAGCAGTAAACACTTGTATTTGGACATAAACACAACAAATACTGGAAATCTTCAAAACACAACAAATACTGGAAATCTTCAAAACACAAAGAATGGGGCAAAGCAGTTTGCATAAAGATTAGAAAAATATCATTGATCAACTTTAATTCTCTGTAATATTTTCTTCTAATATAATGACATCTGAACATAACTAGAAGCCCATCTCCCTTAAAGGCGTAAAAATATTGCTTCAACTATACACAAACCAAGTTCGCTGCAATATCATACCTTAACGGATACCTTCAGCCCCTTCTCTGCTATATCAACAGTAGAAATTGGAGTTCCAACCTGCATAAAAATAGCACATAATAAAAACACAGAATTCAGTCAAATCAACAAACCCAAATTTCCTACTTCAATGAAAGTTCAAATTCATATTCACCCCCACGAAATACCGACCAGATAATATGTAATAGAGAAAGAGGAGGGAGAACTGTTTACCAGAGCTGAGAAAGAGCGACCAAGTTGAAAGCAAGAGAGAGAGAGCGCGAAGAGGACAGAGAGACGGTGAGCAAGAGAAAGCGAGAGGGAGCGAGAGAGACCGATACAGTTCATAAGCTATATCCCTGAATTTGGGTTTACAAAATCCTCTTGGTATTTAAGCCCAAATACAAAGCCGTGTACCCAAATCCAAATCCACCCCGAGCCAAATGGGCCCTAAGCTTATTCGATCAATTTGTTCTCTTCTTTCTGTTTTGCTAACGCTTATTTCAGATGTGAGGTTCTATATCTTAATTGTTAGATCAGGCTAACCAATTTGATCTAATAATTTGATCTATAGAATTCTTGCAAATTAGAGAAGGTTTTAGGCTTGGCTTTACTCTTGTAGCCTAAGGCTTGTTTGGGATTGTTTTTTTGGGCCAAAAACCTGCTTAACTTTAAGAATGTGTTTGGTTCATGGTAAAGGAGGCTTGAGATGGAAAATCAATTGTTTTCCCATGTTTGGTAAGTCTAAAGGCCAGTTTGGCATTTATTGTGCTGTGAAAATAATCTCTGTCAAATTTGCTGTAAGAGAAAGTAGTTTGGCGTTTTGTAAAATTTTTGTTAAAAGTGTTGTTGGTATTGATTTTACTTATAATCAGAAAATGATTGCCGATTAATCATTAAACCTAGCTCCTCTTTGAAACTGATTCTTGCATAATCATAAAATGAAAGCACCTCATTAGCTGATTTCCCTTATAGCTTTCTCTTACATCAATTTTTAACAATAAATGATTTTCTCACAGTTTACCAAACGGGTTGGGCTTCCCAAAATTTTTAAAAAATCAATTATCACCCCAAATAAAAAATGTCAAACTGGCATTAAGCTTGAGAAATGGTTATCTGGTACATGGGAAAATAAGGGGAAATGTAACCCTCCTCCCCTCTTGGGTTTTATTTTCCCTTCCCATGGGAAACGTTGGGAAAATAAGTTAAATGCACATTTTTCATGACAATTTTGTCTGCATTAACAATTTAGAATTACAATATAACATTAAATGCATCTGTTTTATTTGATTTCATATTAGTATAATTGAAAAATTAAACATACTCTTTTTTTTACATTCCAAATATGGGAAATGAAATAAAGTAATATTTCTTGGTTACTTTCCCAATATTATCAAATGTGGGAAATGAATCTTCTATTTCTCATTCATTGGGAAAATACATGGGAAATATTTCCTATCAAACCTTTTCCACGAACCAAACGGGATCTAAAGTTAAGTTGTTTAAGGTGTTTGGTAAAAATATAATATTATGATTATTTTAAAAGCAATGACCTTTTGATAGTAGCTTTTAAGTTGCTTTCAAAAGAAGCAGAGATGAGCATTTAGTGAATTTTTTCAATTCTCATAATACCATCATTAATTTTCATCACCACCACAACTACTATCACCTCCATCTCAACCTCCACCTTCATCATCACCACGTGATTAGCACATAATATTTTTCAACATTATGTCTATTCTAGTCATTATTCATAGTTACAATAATTTTATATTAAAACTTACCAAACAGTTTTGATATTGCTTTTTATACCAACAACACTTTAAAAATATTATTTATCAAACATGGAACTGTTTTACTTTACAATTGATTATTTACAAAGCACATCATAAGCTGTTTTTTTTTTAAATGACAACAATCCCAAATTGGCCCTAAGTAAAATTCTATACGATTTTGATAAAAATAGCAAGCAAAACTTAATCAAACCATACCTCTATAGTTCTAGTTCGGTCCTTAGTTTGGACCCACATAAGAGCATTTTGGATCACAAAAGTAATCAAAAGCAATCTAAAAGATAAATACTTCTCATATTGCACAAGCATTGCACATATAAGGCACTCATAGATTTAGTAAAAACAATCAAATGTAATTAAACGATAGGATTGAAAACATTCCCACTCTGGTTAAGCAATTCTAAGTTTGAGTAACTTGAAGCAATAGCAGCAACAACGATGTCAACCACTATTTGAGTAAAGTTATTTGTACGTGGGACTCACTTTGTATTAGAGATATGGTCATCAATGTGATGTTATTTGTACAACATTTATTGACCACATTTATTACCATCTATCTAATATGGGTCGGTCCCACATACATTATTTTTGTAATCGGGTCAACCACTCCTCCTAGTTGATTCCATTCCTCGATTTTGAGGGTATTCGATTATAGATTTTAACGTGGAGCCCACGTAATTTTTTATATATTTTATTTCTTACGTGTTTTGCTTTTTTGAGAAAAATCGATGATAATTATTGATGAAACCGAACAATGTACAAAGCAGCTATAGTGTCGAATATGGCTATAATATCTCTAGTGACCAAGCACAACAACATGTTAATTTGATAAGGAAATAATTACGCCTAAACCAAAAAAGACTTAAATCCCCGATTCAGCAGCTAGAAGCACCTGTACTTAGACTTACAAGACCAATCCACCGCGTGGCGACAAAAAATAGTACATCCATATTGAAAGCCGAAAACTAAAATACAAAATACAGCAAACTCCTAAAGAGTTCGTGAGAATTATTAGACTAAAACAAACAAAGAAACATGCTCACTGCTCCACATATTCTCAGGCAACCGAAGGGACTCATAATGCTATACCAGCTAAATATTTAGGGCCGCACCTGCTAAACCCCAAACCACACGATCCCACAACTTCCATTTTTGTAACTCCAAAATTTGAAGTGGAGCAAAATCCTTGTATATGCCAAAACGACAACTATATCATGGATAATAGTGTTTCTCGGTGGCTACTTCAACAACAAAAAACAAACGAGCATAGCAACCAATGCTAAACGCATTGACGTTGACGTAGTCACCTTCACCGTGATAGAGAGCACCACCGGAAGCCACCGAAGACCCTTCACCAAACAGATATAGGCATAAAAACCCAAGAAGGGGCAGTAAGAGCCACCCAAGGAAAATGGAGAGTAAAAGAAATAGAAAGGGATTGGAAAGGAAGGAGAATGAGGGGAAAGAAGAAGGGGAGGAGGGAAGCGGAGGAGGAGGGGGGGGGGGGGGGGGGGGGGTAGGGAGTCAGAAATTGAGTGTTGGAATTGGAATCAATCAAATACCAATTCCTGATCATATTGTGAATTATATGATTTTGTTTGTATTTTTATTTTTTTAATATGAAAGAATGTGAATTTACTATATTATCCTCATTTAATTAATAATTTCAATTCTTAATGTTTGAATTAACCAATGACATTTTCTAATATTTTGAATGTTTTACAATTCTCTGCCTTTTGCTTTATATATATAGATAATATAGTTGTACCATAACTTTATATCAAATCTCTTAAAAATAATAAGAGTATCTATCTCATACTTTACGTTCATGATAAAAATAATATAAAATTTAAACACAAGTCCATAAAGCAATGTGAAAAGGCAGAAAATTAACATTCAGAATATAATGGTACCATAACTTTATATCAAATCTCTTAAAAATAATAAGAGTATCTATCTCATACTTTACGTTCATGATAAAAATTAACTCTCATTTATGTTAAAAATAATAAGAGTATCTATCTCCTACTTTACGTTCATGATAAAAATTAACTCTCATACTTTATGTTCAAATTACGTTTGTTAGATTAGCAAATTATGTTATAATTTAGTATAGGTATTATATTAGTTTTTGAATGCTTTATTTATACAGTAACGATAAAAGAGAGCGGAGTTTTCACACATACTATCAATGTGCTATGGAGGGTCGAACTTGATACCACTGATATACAAATAAATGTCATTTTCTAATGAGTTAGACCCCAGTTGACAAAAAAAGAAAAACAACTGTTTTTGAAGCAAAACAAAAACAAAAAAAAACAAAGAATTGTTTTTGCTAAATGGCCAAAGTATGACCAGGGAGAAAGTTCCCAAAAGCTTTCCAATTTTGTCAACGCCAAAAGTCGGATCGCAGTTAAAAAGAGACGCACAAAAAAAACACAACGCCCCAAAAAATTTGCTAGCCATAATTGTAGATTCAAGACGCACCCCTTTTCTTTTTTTAAATTTTTCGTTTCTTATTTTATTTTATTTATTTGACAATAAATAAATATTAAAGCCGGCTCAAATCTCTGGTCAATCTCTCTCAATCAATCTCGTTCACCAACCTCGCTACGCTGCCATAGAAGAAATCGAACACCGAGAGAACTCCATAGCTCCTGCACTACTACCAGCGGTTCAGCTCACAGAGAGCTGAGAGCGCAATCAGATTGGAGCTCGAATTTTGACTGAGATTTCAGGATGAGTTCGAATTCGGATTTGGTAAGCATGTTGGAGTCGGCGCTAGGGGTTTCGTTCGGTGGTTCGGTGACGGATTCGGTGGTGGTGATCGCGACGACCTCAGTTGCGTTGATACTTGGGGTTTTGGTGTTGGTGTGGAGGAGATCCTCGGATCGGAGCCGTGAGGTGAAGCAGCTGGCGGTGCCCAAGCCGCTGGTGGTGAAGGACGAAGAGGACGAGTTTGAGGTTGCGTCGGGCAAGACTAGGGTCACGATCTTCTATGGTACTCAGACTGGTACAGCTGAGGGCTTCGCTAAGGTAAACAATTTTGGTTGAATTTTTTAAGTGCTCTCTTGTGTTTGTGTAAAGTTCCAATATTCGTGTTTAATAGTTTATGTTTGTGATCAAAGAGTTGAGCTTTGTACGGTTTTGGGATTTGGATTGGTTTGTTTTGTTTAGGAGGTTGACGGGGAACGTTATATTTTAAAAAGAAATGTTAGAATTGGGAGAGCTGAGTAGTGTCTGTGTTAAATTAGTGGTTCGGGTTAAGGATTTTATTAAAGACGTGTAAATAATTCTATATGTCTGCGTGTGTTACTGCGAGTCTGCAATGGAGAGTCAGCTTCGGATGTTTTCTCTCGAGGCAAGATGACCACTTTCTCTAAATGTATTCAAAAGGGCCGTGGTAATCTAGAATTTTGGGAATTCGTGGCAAAAGAATGGAAATGAAATGGTGGGGTTGTTGGTAATGTGTTGACTTTTTTTGGCCTCTAGAGATTGAACCCACAGGGGAAAATGTCAGGTTGAGATGTTCATGACTATATGGCACGTCTGCTTCACACTCCAGGTGTTCTTGATTTAAGTGGCTAGTGTGAAGTTTTTAATACAATCGATGCATTCATGACAGCTTCACTGTACTAATCAAGTGGTTGTGGTAATCTGTCAATATCCTCTGCTAAAGTGATGTTTAGTTTAGTTTCTGGTTGAACACAGCTAAAAGTTATCTGTTCATTTATGTATCCTGAACTTACAACATAGAAAGTCTTTTATAGTGTTCTTTTGCTATTTTCTCTTACTTTCTTATTGTCGTGTTTTGATGTGAGCATAGGCTTTGGCTGAGGAGATCAAGGCAAGATATGAGAAAGCTGCTGTCAAGGTTCTTGACCTGGTATGTAGGATGGGAATTGGTCCTTTGTATTGCATAGGGCTTTACCTGAAATATTTAATAAGATATATTTGTTTATGGGTTGAATTAGGATGATTACGCTGAGGATGATGATAAATATGAAGAAAAACTGAAGAAAGAGACTTTGGCATTTTTTATGTTGGCCACGTAAGATACACATTTACCTATACTGAAATTATGTTATTTTTAAAATCTTACTCGTTTTCCTAAAAGTGTAGTGCATTCAATACCTTGTAGTTACGGAGATGGCGAGCCAACTGATAATGCAGCAAGATTTTATAAATGGTTTACGGAGGTTGGTAGCTTTATTGTAAACATTGAGTTTATCAACATTTTAAGTCACAACTGTGACATTTTTGTTGCTGTTTAATAATTTGAGATTTCATGGTCTCGTTTCAGGGAAAAGATCGGGGTGGTTGGTTACAACATCTACGATATGGTGTTTTTGCTCTGGGTAACCGACAATATGAACATTTCAATAAGGTAAATTGGTACTATGATTTTGTTAATTCCTTCTATATGATATTGTGTCTTCTGACGGCACCCTTATTGAAACAGATAGGAAAAGTGGTTGATGATCAACTTAGTGAAGAAGGTATAACTACACTTGTTTTCTTTCTCGTGTTGCTATTGGATGAATAAAAGTTTTCCTTATGTACCTTGTCTCTCGCATTTCAATATGATTATTGATATGTATACTGTAAGATTGTACTGAATTTTTTTATTTTTGGCATTCTATATAAAGACTGGTACTCTTGACTGACTTGTATTTTCTAATTATGGGAATGCATATGATATTTGCTTGTGATTAAGTTTTATATTACTACTTGGGTGCAGAGTAGGTACAGCTGCACTTATTATATAGTAAAAGAAGAACAGATTAAGATTAATGGTTGAGGTTTCTAGTTTTATTTATTTTTTATTGTTTTTGGCATCTCGTTGTTTTTTATGTAGTTTATTTCACTAACTACCTCTGCTTATTTCTCATTACATTTGCCTCTTTCGGTTGATCCAGGTGCAAGGCGTCTCATTCCTGTCGGCTTAGGTGATGATGATCAATGCATTGAGGATGATTTTTCTGCTTGGTATGCTGTAGTCTTGTTGTCACATTTTCTTTTTTCGTTGCCCCCTTTTAAGATAATATCTTTATTTTGGGAAGTGTTAGTATGGCATCTTTCCTCTGCTGCATTTGTTTTATAAAAAACACAAGCTTTATCATGAGGAACCACAAAAAATACAAGAAGCATGGACAAGTAGTCCATGAAACACCAACAACTAACAGGAGAAACACAAAAACCCACTGAGAAAACCTAAACCTTTTCTCCTGCATTAACTGTAATGTTTTGGTTTTTCTCTAGGAGGGAATCATTGTGGCCTGAGTTGGATCAAATACTCCGAGATGAAGATGATACAAACTCTGTTGCTACGCCATATACAGCTGTGATTCCAGAATATAGGGTTGTTATTCATGACTCTTGCGTTGTTACCTCTTATGAGGATAATCTTTTGAATATGGCAAATGGCAATGCTTCTTTCGATATCCACCATCCTTGCAGGTACTCAGAGATTGTGCATGTCTTGCTTCTTTTACAATTATTTTGTTCTAGTAAGATTGGCGTAGCCTTTTGTTTTTATTTTTTATTTTTTCTTCTTTTTCTCTCCCCATTTTTATTTTCTGTTACTGAATTTTGTCTTGCTTGTTTTCCATAAAGAGTTAATGTTGCTGTTCAAAGAGAGCTTCACAAACCTGAGTCTGACCGCTCTTGCATCCATCTGGAATTTGATATATCTGGAACTGGTATTACGTAAGTTCTGAAATGTATCCACTGCTTTTGTTTAAAGACTCTTGGTGATAGGTGTATACTGATTCTATTCATCTTTGTCAAATGTATAATAGAAATGGTTTGTGGGGATAGGCTTATCTGTTTCAGTTTTTCATTTTTTTGTTTATTAAAATAGAAATGGACTTCTTGTCCAGGTCTTGTATGGTTTGAGCTTGTGTTCAGTAAAAATTTCTTAAAGTAGGTGTAAGATTGCATTGGCGATTTATATTCATGAGTATTCCTCACCAACCTTGCCTGACGAGAAGTAGTAACTTGGGGTGCTTACCTTTCTTGAATTTTTTCCGGTGCATATTGTGTTTCTTCTTTAGGTCTACTTTATGTTAGTATGTCAGCGATAACAGATTTTGAATTTATCATTTTATGAGTAATACAATTAAGAAAGAAATCTCCCATCTGTATAACTAATTTTAAATCTGGGGGAACTTAAAATAAATGGTTCCTGAGCCCAAAAACAAAAGGGTTTTGAGCTCTTTTTCTAATATACGATTGAATCTGAATGATGTTTTTTTTAGTGCTGGAATTATCAACCTGATGATCAAACTTGTTTCCTTTGTTTCAGATATGAAACTGGAGACCATGTGGGTGTTTATGCAGATAATTGTGTTGAAACAATTGAAGAAGCTGCAAAGTACTTGGGTCAACCTTTAGATTTGCTGTTCTCCATTCATACTGATAGTGATGATGGCACCCCTCTTGGAAGTTCATTGCCGCCTCCTTTCCCTGGTCCTTGCACACTCCGCACTGCATTGGCTCACTATGCTGATTTATTGAACCCACCTCGGAAGGTGATCTTCATGCTTTTGCCAGTTCCCTTCTTCTTCTTATTGTTTAAGTTATTATTATTATTATTTTTTGTATTTATTACTTTTTAATATTTGTTTCAAATTATTTTTCTTGTCAGGCTGCTCTTCTCGCTTTGGCTGCACACGCGGTTGAACCAAGTGAAGCAGAAAGACTTAAGTTTTTATCATCATCTCAGGGGAAGGTTGGCAATTTTCATGCAAACTTTCTTACTTTGTTATGTTCTTTTTGCATATGTATGTTTCTTTTTATATTTCATATATACTCTTACCATATGTTTTCCACTATCCAGGATGAGTACTCAAAATGGATTGTTGGAAGTCAGAGAAGTCTTGTTGAGGTAATGGCTGAGTTCCCATCAGCTAAGCCTCCACTTGGTGTGTTTTTTGCTGCAGTAGCCCCTCGGTTACAGCCTCGTTACTATTCCATATCATCTTCACCAAGGTGATTTCCCTGTACTACTACATAGGATAGTATTTCTAGAAAAATTAGAAATGTAGAAACCTAATTAGTATTGTTTGCTTTAACAGGTTTGCCCCCCATCGTGTTCATGTGACCTGTGCTTTAGTTTATGGTCCGACTCCAACTGGCAGAATTCACAAAGGAGTGTGTTCATTCTGGATGAAGGTAATATCGAGATGTGACTATGGAGCACTCTCTCTCTCTCTCTCTCTCTCTCTCTCTCTCTACTAACTCTTTTGGTTTGTGAAATGCCAAAACCTTTCAAACTTTCTTACTGCACAACTTAGGATTTGATTGTATCTAACAATGAATTGTGTTGAATAAAATCAGAATGCAGTGTCTCTAGAGAAAAGTCATAACAGTAGCTGGGCTCCTGTTTTCATTAGGCAATCTAATTTCAAGCTACCTGCTGATCCTTCAGTTCCAGTTATCATGGTGGGGCCTGGTACTGGCTTCGCACCATTCCGAGGATTTCTCCAGGTTAGAAATTGCATTAAACATTCTGAGTTTTCCTTGTTTATTTGTGGAAAAGAAAGAAATAAAGTATTTCCCTTCTTCAGGAAAGGATGGCCTTGAAAAAGGAGGGCGCTCAGTTAGGTCCTGCACTTCTCTTCTTTGGTTGTAGAAATCGCAGGATGGTAAACATTGTTACTCTGTGCCTTTCGGTTTTGTTAATATTGTGGAATACTTTGTGCTTGTAATGGATAAATTTATAGGCTTGATCTTTGTGTTTGTAGGATTTTATTTATGAAGATGAGTTAAATAATTTTGTCGACGAAGGTGTGCTGTCAGAGTTAATTGTTGCATTCTCACGGGAAGGACCAACAAAGGAGTATGTCCAACACAAAATGATGGATAGAGTAAGTATTTGTAGGAAGCACAAAGTGGTTTCTGTTCATTAGATAAATACCGTATTAATTGTTGCACCAATGTTATTCCATATTCAGGCAGCACACACGTGGGACCTAATATCTCACGGGGGATACTTTTATGTATGTGGTGATGCCAAAGGTATGGCTAGAGATGTTCATCGGACTTTGCATACGATTGTGCAGGAGCAGGTGCCTATTACTCTCTCTCTCTCTCTCTCTCTCTCTCTAAAAAACCTGTACATGGACAAAACAACTACACATGCTTATAGAATCCTTAGGTAACTATCTATCTCTCGTTGCCATTTTGTGGTTTTCCAAAATCTCTAGAAAGTGTATTTGACGTAATCAAAAAGCTTTCACCAAATTATCAATCGGATGATTATTTAAGTAATTGGTCTTGTGGATTGGTGTTTCGTGCGTCCTTGGTTTGGAATGTTGACACTAATGGCTTTTCATGTGGCAAAACTTTTGTTGAGTTATTCATCAATTTTTCTTTCGAGTTATTTTTCCAAAAACAAAAATTTTTTGACTGTGCCATAACTGTTTGAGGGTTTGTTTTCCAATACTTGGTTTCTTATTTTCGTGTTGAATCGGATCACGTTACAAGTTCTGTCTGGAAAAATAAAAAAATATTTCAGGAAAAGGTGGACTCAACAAAGGCAGAGGCTATAGTGAAACAACTTCAGATGGATGGACGGTATCTTAGAGATGTCTGGTGATATCGCCTTCCCTTTGTGGCTTGTTTTGTATCATCTTTTAGAACATTGGAATTTTATATATATCTTCAAGGTCAGGCTTCAGCTGCGGGATCTCTGCCCTTCAAAGTTATAGCAGCAGATTTGGACAAGAATGTTGGAAACTGAAACCTGGTTTCCCTAAAAGGTTTTAGTATATCGGATCGAACTCGGTCTGCCATTATTATTTTTTCATCCTTTTTTTTAAATAGGTGGGTTATTTAATTTTTAGGAAACTACATGTTAGCTAGTCACAAAGTTCTCAAAACACAGACAAGAACTGCTGTAGGTTGTTTTGGATAATGTTGTATGAAATATTTTAGTGAATTATGATAATTAAAATAAAGCTTAAGTTTGTGGCATGTATTAATTCCCTTTTAATTTCATTGTTTACTTTCTAGTTCTCTGGTTGATCTGGTATGATTTACTAGGATTGAGATTGGGTCACCTGAGTAGCTTAAAAAATAAATAAATAAAAAAGAGCAGCTAAATTGCTTTTATTTAGTGCTTTTGCCAATAGTATTTACAATTTAAGCATTTTAATAACTTTTTCTAGAAGTCCAAAATCATTAACTTTTACTGGTAAAATTTTCTGGAAAAGCAAATTATATGGCCTCCTTCGGTAGGTTGGCCTAGACTGGTTAGGATTGACTTGTAAGCATTGGATTGGATTGGCTGGGATTTTAAGTCCAGTGCAGTTCACTTTTGCACCAAACAGTGGACTGGATCAGACATTGAATGCAAGAGGGATCTCTGATGCATGTAGAGTTTTTTCTTTTGCAAACTGGAACCAAATGAAATTTTTTAATTTTTTGGCAGAGATTGAAGAAAAAGGCCCAACTTTTTACAAGAAATATGAACCACCCAATAACAAGAGCTGCCATTGTTCCCGATTGTAGCCTGTGAGTAATAACAATTCTCAGTTTTTGAGACCAGGAAAAAACAAAAAATCTCACAATACCAAACCGAAAAGAGAACCCATGGCATCGAATCCAAACTGAAACTTATATCAAGATCTAACAATTACCCAATCTCATATCAAGATAATAATAAATATCAATTTTTATATAAAAACAGAAAATTCGATGCAAAAATCACGACAGTACAGACGATGCAAGGGGAGAGAGGAGATGAGAGGAGAGAGAGGATAGAAGAGAGAAGAAGGCAAACCACTAGATAACAAAGTACAGACGACGTGAAGGAGGCGGAGGGAGACGAGGCGCTCAGATTCATTGTAAACCCATGTCTATCGATGGGTTTGGAGTCCCTTGTTATTCTGGATTGGTGTCCAAGAGCCATGTCTAGTTCGTGATGTATTTTAAGCACACCAAACAACAGACTGGATCCATGTTCATTTTAATTGAATATATCCAGTCCAGTCTAGCCCACCAAACAGGGCCTATAGGGTTTTTCCGGTAGACACCGAAAATACATTTCCAATTTCGTAAACGTTACAAAGAGGGCTTATAGGTAAGTTTCCTTGTGGTGTACCGCGTTAAATGTTGACGTGGCCATTCTCACGTGGCTTTTATTTGATGAAGTGGACTTCGAATAAAATTTGGCTTCCTATATGAGAGAGATCACCAATAGTTTGCCATGGTTTTTATGCAGTCCGTTATATTTTGGTTTTTTTTTTTGGTTGATATGATGTGAGAGAGATAGGAGACAAACTTGGGTTTAATACTCGGATTAATAAAGTTTTCCTTCTACCGTTAAAGTTATATAATAAAAAAATAAAAATTGAAACTGTGTTGGTAATGAAAGATACGGAATATGAGCTTGGTAATGTACTTTTAAAAGAGAAGTGAACGCATGGCCGAAGGGGCAATATTTGATTCTACACAATAATGTTTGGATTTGGAGCATTACTAGTAGATTCTATCAATCACCCCAACACTTTCCTTTACATAAATACCATGGTATACCAGCACCCATCACGATATTATTTTTCTATAAACAAGGTTAAAGAAAAAGGAGAAGATTGGAACTTACTAGCCTTAAATCTGATATGATTATAAATAAAAAATAAAAAATAAACCTTAAAATGTCTCACATGCCCCACTTGTACTACTCCATATATTTCTCTCTTTTTTTTTTTGCCAAGCATATTTTTCTCTTATTTCAATCATCATCCTTTCTTTCTTGTGCTCCAAGTTTTCATTTTAGTTACCAAAAAAGAGCCTAGATTTTGGGGCTTTGTGTAACCAACCACTAGGATATGTACAAAGGTTTAAAGCTTTTTTTTATTTTTTAATGTGTAATAATAAAGAGTGAATATGTGGACGGTTAATATTAAAGAAGAGGAAAATTCAAACCCAAGAACTTGGGTGCACGGGTAAATTTCCTTCACCAACCCTTTGCACATTGTTTGGTTGACAAAAGATTGTTTGTCTATTGGTATTCAATTTTATATTTTATAGTGGGACCCTCCTCATTTCATTTAGGATTTATGATTCTAGAATATCATAATTTCTTAATATAATTACACTTTATTAAATATGGATAAAATGATACACTCACAATTTTTTAAATTAAAAGAAACATGCATTACAGTTGTCCACAAAAATATGAGAAGTTATCCATAAAACATGCATTACCTTTATTTTTATTTAAAAGTGATGCTATTTCCAACCCATTATTTTTTCACTCACCTTATCTTCCCATCCATCATGTAAATTTGAAAAAACATAATCCTATCTTTTAGACTTTTTTTGAACTTTTTGTCAAAGGGTAGAATAGGTGAGTTACGTGACTTGAGGTTTTTTTTAGTTTAGGATTTAACATTCTAAATTCTTAAAAGAGGTGAAAATAATAGCACTCAAAATTAAACTCATTAAAAAACCCCAATTGGCAAAGCGTGTGCCGAGGACCAGTAAATAAGAAAAGAAAAGACTCTCCTGCAGTACATAACTCACATGACAATAAACTAATTTTTTTTTGGATCTAAATAATAGGAGTCTCTTTCGGTCGAAAGCACCGGCTCTCTTGGACTAGAGAGCGACTAGCTCACTACTCAGTTGCATTCCGTTTCTCTTTATTTTTTATTTTTGAGGGTTTCTCCTTAAAATCTCATCAAAATTCCTCCCTTCCTTCCGCTCTTCAACGCTATCACTTCCTCCGTTGCCCCTACTCTCTTTCTCTTGCGGTCAAAGCCGCCCCCCGCCTCCTCTCTCTCTAAATCTCCTTGTAGGGTTTAGGGTTTAGGGTTTAGGGTTTAGGGTTTTTGCTAAACCACTAAAGTTTGTTCCTTTCGCTAATTTGGCTTGCCATATTTCATATTATGCAATTTGAAATTCACTGTAAGTAAAACAATGGTTGAGAAACCCAAGGACCCGGAGAAGAGCTATATAACCGAAGAAGATACAGCCAATCTCTTACATAGGTCCCTCTTTCTCCTCTCTCTCATTGATTTCAATATTTCTGTGCTTATGCGCGTGTATGTGTTTGTATTTCTATTTGGAATGTTTGGATTAGCCTCTTCAGGTCCATCTCATGTTTCTTGATGTTTACTTTTCTCGGTCAAGCATTTGTTGAATTACCCAAAACAAAAAAGAGCGGCTGACCCTACTTGTGTATTGGTTTAATGGGGTTTTTGTATTTTGGGCTTTCTCTGGTTTTTTTTTAAATTGTAAAATTTTCTTATTGTTCTGATGTTGGGAATTTTTTTTTGGTGGATTGGATTTATTGAGTGGTTTTGTATTGTTAATCAATAGGTACCAGGCAGCGAATGTGTTGCACTTGCTGCAGGAAGTGGCGCACTCGCAGGACGTAAAGATAGATTGGAATCGATTGGTGGAGAAGACTTCAACTGGAATTTCCAATGCCAGAGAGTATCAGATGCTTTGGCGCCATTTAGCTTATAGTGAAGCTTTTGTTGACAACTTCGACAAGGGGGCTCAACCCGTGGTCTGTCCCCCCTTTTTTTTTTTTTTTTTTTTTTTTTTTTTTTTTTTTTTTTTTCTGAGTTGTTTTGGTGCGTTCTGCTGCCTTACATAAATTTTTTAAGTTGATAAAGTTTTTTTTTGTCCTCGTGCATGATGGGATTTGTGGGATTGTGAGTATAATGGGAATTGTAATGGTTGTGTGTCAGTGTGTGTGTACTAATCTTTTCAGCCTCATTGTTTGAATTTGAATTATGTATAAAGTGGTATTTTTACACTACCGGATGATAATAGAAGTGCTCCTTTACACTTCAGTTTTCCTGATACAGTGGTAATTAACTTTAGCTCCATCATAAACATTTGAACTTTATAATGTGCATAGATGTGTCACTGTCACAGAAATTTATCTAAGGTGGATGAACTATAATACAAAAGTCTTGTTAAAGAAGTCTGTCCCACATTTACTTGCACGCTATTTGAGTCATGGTGAAGTATACTATCAGTTACCACTCATTAGCAGGATACAAATACATTTTCCTTTTCCTTGTGCTGAGTGATGTTAAATTTTGCTGGCAGGATGATGACAGCGATTTAGAACATGAATTGGAAGCTTTTCCTGCTGTTAGTGGTGAAGATTCAACAGAAGCTGCAGCATGTGTGAAGGTATATAAAATAAATTCTTACTCAATGAGTCTTTGTTTTAGGCTTTACTATTTCAGATTTTCCAGGTTAGATAGATGGCCTCAAGTTTGATTGTATGATGGGTTGGGTTTAGAGTTAGTGGATTTTTAAGAGTGAGATAAATGGAGCAAATAGGGGTTACTTTGCAAGAGGAAAACAGCTAACTGGAATTCACTAGGTATTGGCTAATTTTAGGGTTCTAGGGTTTATGTGATAGGTTATTTGGGAGAAAAGTGGATGTAGGAAAAGAGTAGGGTTTAGAGAGTAATTGTGGTAAACAAAACAGAAAAATAAAAACTGATATGGAGTTGCAAGGAAACAAGAAAAGCACTCAAATTTGTCATTTTCAGGCTCTCTGGACAATATAATTGAAAAAGGAAAAAAAATAAATACCGAAGAAGTGGAGAAAGAAACTCTAGGCGCACAGTGGTTCAGCAAACCAAACATTATATTTCATTAGGATTATGTAGATAGTTATGGACTTTCTTACCTTTTCTTAATAGGAGAAGGATCATGACAAAGATCCCTAATTGCCAAATAAGTGAACCCAGCTTATAATGCCCATCATTGTAACAATGGACAAGCAGTAATGGTGAATTGTGCACACAAGAACTCCAATGACAAATGACATGTTGTGAATTGGGTATATGAGCTTTCACATAAGAATGGTTGACATTTCTATGTGGGCATGTTTTTATGAACTTTTAAAATATCTCAATTGTACTTGACCTTACTAATGTACAGATCCAGCCAGCTTATTGTTGGAGTGGTTGTTTTTGTCAGGTTCTAATGGCCTCTGGCTTACCAAGTGACTCAACTCATCGCAGTGGTGCAACAGTTGAGGCTCCATTGACCATAAATATACCCAATGGCCAGCCATCTAGAACTCATCAAAATTCACAACCACCTTGTTCAATGCAAGGGATGAACATTACAGTTCCGGTTTCTGTTCAGAAACAGCCCCTCCTTGCAATGACAACGTCTACAGGGGCAACTGCTGAAGGAGGTGATGCAAATGGATCAGCTAGCAATAACATGGCTCCTCGGAAGAAAAGAAAAAAGTGGTCTGAGGCTGAGGATTTGGAACTGATTGCTGGTGTGCGGAGATATGGTGAAGGAAATTGGGCAAATATCTTAAGAGGAGATTTCAAAGGGGAGAGAACTGCTAATCAGCTATCTCAGGTGTTTTTCTGTCTCCGCAACCGATTCTTGAAAATTACGTGCTTGCTCTTGGTTTTTCTGCGACTTATCTCGTATTAGCTTCTCCTCCTGTTGTCATTTCATGTTGGTGGTTCCACGTTCTTTCCTGTTTTCATTTGTTATTATTTAACATCATCATACCTTGTAATTTGATGCATCCAAAGAGACATAAAGAATTCCTCCACACAAAAAAAAGAAAAAAAAAAGGCACCATGTCATGCAGAACAACATAATCGTGATGCTTATGATTATGGTTGGTTGATGGCAGAAGTTATAGTAATCACCAGAAGTTTAGAGAAATGAATAACAAAAAGAAAGTCTAGGGTTGTTGTAATTGCGGACAAATTAGAGAAAGAGATAAACAAGGAGTAGAACAAAGAGGTGAAAGTATAGATGGAAATATCAAGGCACCAAGCCTTCAAGGCAGTAAGCGTTTCAGTAACAATTTCCTTTCATCAAAATCTAATTTTCTTTACAAGAGCTAATTTTTATGAGCATAGATAGAGCACCGAATGACTTGATAATACTGAAAGACTCATCAAACTGACTGTGAAATGATATTTGAAAGCTGGGAAATAGACTGAAGCATAAATGACATTTTAGGATGGAATAGGTCATCATAAAGATATTTAGAGTCCAAAGTCAACTGCTCTTATTGAATAAGCTGGGAAATGCCTTGTTTTGGCCCTTTATTAGGACACAAGGTTTGAACTAACAAGAAAATTCTTTTACCATTTGGAGAAGTCCGTTGGGGTTGAATTCAGATAATTTAGTTTTCATAAGTCTTTACATATGGAAAATGCTATCGCCTAGTGTTCAATTATAATACTAATTTAGATGGCTGAATTCTTACATTAGGGTAAGTGGTTAATTGCCATTAGTAGCGTCCATATTTTGCTTTTCTGACTGAATGAAAGAAGGAAAGAAGAAAATTTTATTAAACTAGGTTATCGAGCATGGCCAGGTGGAAATCTTTCTTTTGTTACTCATGCACTAGAGAGTACTATCCGTGAGTACAAGAGGGTAGTTATTTAGGAATAGTAACTCCGAGGGGAATTAATAAATTTACATTCTTATTTACTTGAGGTTCCTTTTTACATTTTACTTTTAAATTTTTTTTTAGTATAGATGACCTAGAGTTTGACTTAGCTCTTGGCTTTGGTCCTTTCACTTTTAATTTTAATTTTGGAAAAGAAAAGCCCCCGGATTTCTTCATTTAAAGTGAAGTGAATGGACTTGAGTATTCTTTCTTTGAATAGGTGGACTTGAGCATTCTTTCAATAAAAACATGAACTTGAGTATTCGCACTTGGATATTTTCTGTTTATATTGTGGAATTCATAGTCCACTTGTCATATGATAGTGGAGGGGTTGGAGATTCAAAAAAGAATTACATAAATTTAGGGTAATGATTTCCCCACTCCAATTTTATTGTAATATTAAGGGCATCCTTGGAATTTGGACTTACTAGCATTTAATTATCTGATTGTGTTTTGACACAAACTTATGATCCTTTATGTGACCAATAAAGGTATGACGTTATACCATTTCTTTGTATGGTTCTGGAGAGCATGTGTTGCATCAATGTGCTAGTATATATAATAAACTTAGGTTGAAGCCATACTTCATATAACAATTTTGTGAATAAATCAAGTCTCTAATCCATAAATTATAATCAGAGGTTGATTGATGTATATTATAAAAAACTAGCTGAATTTGAACAAAGCATGAAGTCTAAAGATTCCGCTAGGCTGTGGAATTGTGTGAAATCCTAATTCTACGGCTGTCAAATAAATGTAATTGCACACAAGTATGCATAGATGACACTGATGAGTTTTCTCACTGATGCAAATTTGCAGTGGATTCAAACATTGAGACACATTGTACTACAACAATCCGTTGTCATCTAGTTCGGTCAGATGTCTGGGTTTTACCCAGGTTTCCCGGGTTCAAATCCCGGCAACGGATTTTCTTTTTCCCTGTATACGAATATTTTGTTGTAAACTTGTTAAACAAGAATTTATTTTATCTTTTGGAACCGAGGTAGTGGACAGTTCATTTCAAACTCTACGTGTGTTCCAACTCTGACTCTTCTTTCTAGTTGTCACTGGAGGCATGAATGCGCACTAATCTTCTTTTTTTCCTACTAATTTTATGGTTTGTATTACAGAGGTGGAAATATATTAGGAAGCATCATCATCAAGACTTGAATGTGGGAGGCAACTCTAGTAATAAACTTTCAGAAGCACAGTTGGCAACTCGCCATGCAATGTCGTTAGCCCTGAATATGCCAAGCATAACAGCTAACACGATTGGCACAGGTGATTCTCTCCTCCTTCCATGCTGTTCTTTAGTTTACAAAAAAGTAGATATAATTCTTATGCTCCTTCAACAAGGACCAAGAGGTCATTGGATCCTCAAGTCCTCCCTTTAAAACCATTTTTCCCCAATAGCAAGTTCCCTTCAAGTCAAACGCCAGATAGATACTTTTCATGATTACTGAACAGTATAGAGGCTAGGACCTTTCGAAAATCTTACAAAAATATTACTTGCTCGTCTTTCGTAATGCTAAAGAAGACTTACCATTACCCTTTTAGATTATATTTAAGTTCTTAATCTATCAATCTCTTTAAATTTTCTGGCTGCGGCATTATCTTTAGCGCACTTTCCTAGTGTTAGGATTTATTAACCAGGATTTTTTTTTGTGTGTGTGTGTTTGTGCCCCTTTTTGGAAATCTTGACTTTCCATGGATGCATCATGCATCACCTCTTTCATTAAAGGGTGCTATTTGGCACCTACGTCACTGAAACAATTGTGTGTGAACTCTCTGACGTCTTTTTAATTTTTAAATAATAATTTTATAAAATATATTTTAGTAGCTATCAATGTGAATATATAACATGCATTGTTCTTACTTTTAAGCAGCTGGGACAAATACACACAGTAAATTTGGTGGAACAAATGCAACTACCAACTCTGTGCCTAGCACTGCTGCTGAAGAAGAACTGCAGTCTCAACAAGGCCTTAAACCAGCAAAGCCATATCAAATGGGATTATTGGGTTCAACATCAAAATCTCAATTAACCTCCAAGAAAACCTTGACAAAGCCTAATTCCAATACTGATGGTATGGTAAGAGCCACTGCGGTTGCTGCTGGGGCACGGATTGCTTCTCCTTCAGATGCTGCATCACTGCTCAAGGCTGCTCAGGCAAAGAATGCTGTCCATGTCTTGCCTACAGGTGGTTCTTCTATCCAATCGTCCTTACCTGGTAGCATGCGTACACACCCAGAGCCTCATCCTAATTTACATTACATGCATACGGGTTTGGCTGCTACGCCAGTTTCTACCCCTCCATCCACTGCTGTCACTCCCAGTGCCACACACCCTGGGTCTTTAAAAGCTCTCCCTCAGACGAGTCAGCACGCTCCAACTAATAGCACCTTGCTATCCAAACAGATCAAGGATGTTAGCTGTAGTCTGGATTCTGAGCTGGGCTGCACTGCAACAGAGCAGGTCCAAGATGGAGCAGTTATCTCTGAGAATGGACAGAATGAAGAAGGTCAAAAGGATAAAGTGGATTCACCTGACCAGAAAGCTGAGTTAAAAAATTTATCAACTAGTGCTGAGAATCTCGTTGGTTCGTTGGACATCAAAGGAGATGACACTGATAATATAGCTGGCATAGGTGTACAATCTGAAGAGAGACAAAGTGCAAAAGATAATGAGGCTTTGTGTTCACTCAAAGGCGATGATCCATTTGCAGCTGACAGTTGTGAAAACCAAAGTGCAAGTGAGCAGCAGATAGGTCTTGTGAGCATTGTAGGAGATGGATGCAATGGAAAACAGGTTTTAGGCAAAGAGGAGACTGGTATTAAAATCTAAGTGGAAGAAGAAGATTAGAGTATATTGTAAAGATTGTGGTGTAAATTTTCTTAAAGAATCTTTTGGTAATTTTAGGGTGGATGGATAGTGTTTGTCAATGATGTAAATTTTGGACGATGATGGCGTTCTTGCACTGCATTACATTATTCAATTCAATTTGAGCTTCATGTTGAATTATTTGAGATTGGGTTTGCCGCGTAAAGATAGCCCTCTCTCTCTCCTTTTATATGTGCGGAGCGGGCGACTTTTGCATTATATCTCTCCCGTTCTCCTTTTGAGCATGCGGGGGTGTCACGGATTGCTGATAAAAACTAGAAGGCACACCATCAGGCCCACGGGGCTTTAGACCTCCAATGGAGAAGATACTGTTCTTCAATAGTTCACTGAAAGCCTTTGGTCTAATGAACCACAAGACCAAAATTGGTTTTTTTGATCCCCAGTTGCTATGGAGCTGTTCTAATAGAAAGGGAGAGTCCCTCTTTGCAAATTCAAAAGGCCCTACGTAGTTTCGCAACTCCGAGCAATTCTCAACCAACACATGCGATTCATTCGGTCTCCGTCATAGGGTTGTTGAGTCAAGTCAAGAAGAAGAAAAAGAAAGTCCCACCTTGCGGATTAAACTTTTGGGGACAAGCAAAAGTAGGGGCTCGCCATTAGAACGAACGAACAAAAAAAAGGTTACTGTTTAGGTAGTTGCACTAGGACATCAAGCATTGGACCAAAGTAATTTGCAAGTTACAACCGTGCGACACTCATGAGTAGCAAGTCAGCCAAATGAGTACCTTATATGCAACAAACTCACACACAATAATTAATGTTGTGCAAGCAACAAATAATAAATGGCAACACATAAAATAGTTGTAAAGAGAACAATCTCACAAGGCAACACACGAGGTAACAATGATTGAGCAAAAGCTTCTTTATATTGATTGGCAAGAGAGTACAATGAATGATCTTACCTATACCGTATACAAGTGAACTAGCCCAATAATCCGCTGACTAGTCACCCCCCGCTGTATAGCATTTTATGCATTTTCACTTGTTGCACGAAGAGACATCACTTGTGCTCAAGGAGTCATAATGACAAAATAAAAGAAAATGCATATTTTTTCAATTACTGAAAAATGGGCGAAACCGCATTGACTAAAAAATGTATACGTAAAGAAAAGAAAAACGGGACAAACAACTCTCCCAATACCATCAATAGATTATAGAAGCTTTTTCTTCTGACTGGACTAGAGAGAGTGTAGAGAGTGTCACTCTCTCTCTCTCTCTCAACCAAATAACCCCTAGGTGCGTGTGCTCTTCAACGCTCTTTGACTCTCCTCTGTTGTCCCTCCTACTCTCATTCTCTCTCTCTTCCGGTCAAAGCCCTCTCTCTCTAAAACCCCTTTGTACGGTTTAGGGTTTTGGCTAAACCACTCAAGTTTGTTCCTTAAAGCTTTCCATTGGCTAATTTGGCTTGTCATATTTCATAATATGCAATCTGAAATTCACTATAAGCAAAACAATGGTTGAGAAAACCAAAGACCCTAAGAAATGTTCTATCACCGAAGAAGATACAGCCACTCTCTTACAAAGGTCCCTCTTTTTCCTCACATTTATTTCAGTATGTGTGTGTTTGTGATGATTTTGGCACTCTTGGGTTGAGGAGTATTGGAAGTGATATTTAGAGTGCAAAAATCATCTCCCTTTTTATCTATTGGGAGTTCCTGTGTATTGGGTTTAATGGTTTTTTTCGTTTTGGATATGTGCAAGTTTTTTGAATAGTGAATTGGGTTTAATGGGCGGTTTTGTTTTTTAAAGGGCAGGTACACGGCAACGACTGTGTTGGCATTGCTACAGGAAGTGGCGCATTGGCCGGCGGCGAAGATTGATTGGATTCGGTTGGTGGCAAAGACTTCAACTGGGATCTCCAATGCCAGAGAGTATCAGATGCTTTGGCGCCATTTAGCTTATCGGGAAGCTCTTGTTGACAAATTCGACAATGGGTCTCAACCTTTGGTCTGTTTCCCTCTTCTTCTTTTTTTCCCCCTCTTGAATTGTAGTTTGTGGTGTTTTCTGCATTCTTTTACATAATCTTTTAAGTTGATAAAATTGTATAAATAGGGTTTTTCTATTAAACCTAGCTTTTTTCTGAGTTCACCCAGCACTTGATTTTTTTTTATTTTTTTTAGTGTGCATTTTAAAAATAAATTGTATTATAGTGCAAAAGGAGAACAAAGGACATAACACGTACATTTTCCTTTTCCATATTGTGAGAGATGTTAAATTTCGCTGGCAGGATGATGATAGTGATTTAGAATATGAATTGGAAGCATTTCCTGCTGTTTGTGGTGAAGCTTCAACAGAAGCTGCAGCATGTGTGAAGGTATAAAAAAATAATTTCATACTTAATAAATGATTTGCTTTAGGTTTCTTATTTCAGATCTTCCAGGTGAACCCTTGTTATGGAGTGTTTCATGCCTGATGATCTGTTGACTTTAATTACAGTTCCCAGTTGAAGCTATTTTGTCTGTTTTGTATGGAAAACCAAATGGCTATGCTGCTTCTTTGGAAAATCTCCTTTTTATCATTCCCAGTTTGAGTATTTTACAGAGATATTTCACTCCTGCAAGAATTTAGCAAGTTAATATTTAGATTTAGTGTTCAGAAGTTGGAGGAAGCATGTTACCAACATCAAGAGGTAGTCCAGGATTACAAATACTGGATTAAGGTGGTTTTCAGAAAATGATAGTAACTTCTGTGTCTGATTTATGCACATCTGGCTACAAAAAGTAAGAAAGTACTGATTAAAATTTAAAGTCAAAAGAGTAATACTGACGTTGGACAGGTTAGATAACTGGCCTTAAGTTTTATTATATGTTGGGTTGGGTTAAGTTAATGGATCTGTAAGAGTGAGATAAGCAGAGAAAATATGGGGTAGCTTCCAAGAGGAAAATCGCTTACTGGAATTTACTGTGGAGTGGCCAATTTTAGGGTTCTAGCATTTATTTGACAAGCTATTTGGGAAAAAAAGAGGATCTAGAAGAAATTTCAGGTTTACAGTTAAATTGGTTTAAAAGAAATCCTGATTTGGAGTTGCAAGAATACAAGAAAAGCACTCAAATTTTTGCTGTTCATGGTTTGTGAACGATAACTTTGAAAAGGGAAACATATTGCTTCAGTAAACCAAACCTTAGTTTCATTAATCAAGACTCTACTAATTGATAGGATTATATAGATAGTTATATACTTTCTTAGCTTTTCCTAATAGTAGTAGGATTTTGACTTAGATTCCTAATTGGCACAGAAAATTAACTCAAAGATCAACTTTTGATGCCCATCACCGTAACAAATCTTAGAAACTACCAAGTAGAAGGATGCATGGCCCATTGTTAAAGCTCATGTCAAGCAATGAAATAATTCAAACCTTGACACAATGAACTTGAATAAATTAAATATTAATATCCCAGCCAATTACTGTGGAACTTATTTTTGGACTAAAAAGTCTTTTTGAGATTGTAAAACTTGGGTTCCTATTTGAATAAATTTGTTGACATTTGCTCATTAGCTGGGGAAGATGGCCTCAATTAATGGACAAGCGGAATGGTGAATCATGCACACAGGAATTCAAATGGTAGTTCGGTATATTGTAACTGTGTTTAAAAGGTTTCACTTTAATACAGTCGGCATTTTCTATATGAAGTTGGCCTCATATTAGCTGTGTTTAGTTTAGAATCTGCATAGGTTTCAACTTAAATCCGTTTTGTCCCAACTTCTGGTCCACACCAAGGTGGCAGAACATGAAACATTATTGAGTCTTCCCGATCTAGGTTGGTATATCACGGGTTACACATATGTGGACGTGTTTTTATGAATATTTATACTATCTCAATTGTTTTGACCTTATTAATTCACTGATCTAGCCAACTTATCTTGTTTGAGTGGTTCTTTTGTTAGGTTCTAATTGCCTCCGGTTTACCAAGTGACTCAAGTCATCGAAACGGCACAATGGTAGAGGCTCCATTGACCATAAATATACCCAATGGCCAGCCATCTAGAACTCATGAAAATTCAGAACCAACTTGTTCAATGCAAGGGAAGAACATTACAGTTCCGGTTTCTGTTAAAAAACAACCCCTTCCTGCTGCAACAACGTCGTCAGTAGCAACTGCTGATGGAGGTGATGCGAATGGATCGGCTAGCAATAGCATGGCTCCTCGAAAGAAAAGAAAAAAATGGTCAGAGGCTGAGGATTTTGAATTAATTGCTGCTGTGCAGAAATGTGGTGAAGGAAATTGGGCAAATATCTTAAGAGCAGATTTCAAAGGGGACAGAACAGCTGGTCAGCTATCTCAGGTTGTTTTCTGTTACCCCAAGTGACTCTTGAAACTTAGGTGCTTGTTCTTGGATTTTCAGTTACTTTTTCATTTTCTTCTCTATATCATACCTTGTAATTTGACGCATCCAAATTGACATAAGAATTTCCTCAGAAGAGAAGAATACAAATGCACCATGTCATGTGGGACCACATAAGCTCTGTGCTGCTTATGATTATGGTGGGTTGATGAGAGAAATTTGAGTAACCAGAAGAAATTTAGAGAAAAGAAGAACAAAAAGATAATCCGGGGTTGCTGTATTGCAGAGAAATAGATAAATAAGGAGAAGGTATAGATGGAGATATGAAGACACAGCCTTCAAGGCAGTAAACCTTTCAGCAATAATTAATTTTCATTCATCAAAATTTGCTTTACGAGAGCTAACCTTTAATAAGCTTAGGTAGAACAACAAATGACTTCCATGAATACTGAAGATCATTAAAGAGTAGAAGAAGACTTTAGAAACTTAAAACTAACTTTGAAATGCCATTTAAAAATGAAATAAATTAGCATAAAAATATTTCAAGTGGAAAGTAGACCACTCTTAAATGGCGTTAAAAATGAAATAAAAGTGGAGCATTATGCCATTTGATTATCTGATTGTGTTTTCTTTTCAATCTAGTCTTCTTTTATTCGACCATTAAAAGTATAACATTACGCCACTTCTTTGTTATACTCTATATTTCATGTGTAGCACTTGCGTCAATGTGCTGGTATAAGGAAAATTGTAGAATTTCTGTTATCTTATTTAATGTTAGGAAAACCTAGGTTGAGGACATACATTCTATGGTTATTCTTTAGATAAAATTTTGTGAATGTGATCTATTGTGGTAGACTTATCAAGGGGTAAATCAAGTCTTTAATCTCATTAGTTATAAGTTTTTTTTAAGAGAACTTATAGAACATAACATGAGAAACTGTTTGCAATGCGCCTTTCATGATTGCAAAATTTTGGTTGGTTAGGGTAGACCATTTTGTGGGAGTTTATAAATAATGAAATGATTATAATGTAAAGGAAGCACAGAGACCATGATACTACAGCAATCTGTTGTCATCTAGTTCGGTCAGATGTCTGGGTTTACCCAGTTTTCCCGGGTTCAAATCCCGGCAACGGATTTTCTTGTAACCTACATATGAAAATCTTGTGAATCATGTAGTATGAGGGTTAAACATAAAAATTAAAAATTTGCTATTACCTTTTGGAAATAATTTGTTGCCATCTTTTCTTTGTTTTTGTTTTATTTATTTATTTCTGAGGTAGTGGGTACTTAATTTAAAACTCGACCTGTGCTCCAACTTTTACTCTTTTCTTTTTGTTGTGTTTGGAGGTATGAATTTGCACCAATGATTTTTCCTACTAATTTGATGAGTGTATATTACAGAGGTGGGCAATTATTAAGAAGAGGAATCAAGAGTTGAATTTGAGAGGCAACTCGAGTGGTAAACTTTCAGAAGCACAGTTGGCCGCTCGTCATTCATTGTCCGTAGCCCTCAATATGCCAAACCTAACAGCTAAGACAATTGGCACTGGTGATTCTCTCCTCCATTAAGCTGTTTTCAATTTACAGAAAAGTACTAATAATTCATATGTTGCTTCTAAAGGACCAAACAAGTCCTGCGATATTTTTAGGGGACCCTCAAGTCCTACCTTTAAACTTCATTTTTCCTCCTTAATATAGTGGCAGCTTCCATTAAGGTCAAGGACAAGATGGATACTTTTCGTTATTACTGAACGGTATTGTTAGAGACTAGGACTTTTTGAAAGTCTTACAAAAAGACTTCCTAGTCTTTCTTAATGCTAAAGAAGATTTATCGTTACCATTTTAGTTTAGAACACTGCTTGGCTTATTACCTGTAAGGAGCCAATTCCCCCTCACCTGCAGACCAGATCTGACACGTACAAAATGACTCATTAAAAGCACAAAGAAAATAGCTCCTTCCAGGTAAGAAAGGAGCCAATTTTTATTTTATTTTTTTTCAATTTATATGGAAGTGCTTCACCCGTCAAGCAATGTATTTAATATTGTAGCTGCTGTAGTATCCAAGGCTCACTTTCCTATGATTGGGATTTTATTAACCAGGATTTGTTTCCCCATTTGGAAATCTTCACTGAAAAATTTGGCACCTAAGTTAGAATGGACCAAAGCTGATGTAGCCAAACTGAAATAAATGTGAACCTTCTGACTGATTTATGTACTCTGATTTTTAATTGATATTTTTTTTAAATTTATTTTGGTACTTATGTATGTTTATTTATATCTTGTTTTCTCCTTACTCTTAAACAGCTGGAACAAATGCTCACAATAAGTTTGCTAGAAAAGTTGCAACTAGCAACTCTGTGCTTACTACTGGTGCTAAAGCAGAACCGCAGTCTCAGCAAGACCTTAAACCAACAAAAAAACCATATCAAATGGAATTATTGGGTTCCACGACAAAATCTCGAGTAACCTCCAAGAATACCTTAACAAAACCTAATTGCAATGATGATGATATAGTAAGAGCCATTGCGGTTGCTGCTGGGGCACGCATTGCTTCTCCTTCAGATGCTGCATCACTGCTCAAGGCTGCTCAGGCAAAGAATGCTGTCCATATCATGCCTACAGGCGGTTCTTCTATCCAATCGTCGTTACCTGGTGGTATGTCTACCCACTCAGAGCCTCATCCTAATTTACATATGCGTACCGGCTTAGCTGGTATAACACTTTCCACCCCTCCACCAACTGATGTCACACCTAGTGCCGTACACCCTGGCTCTTCAAAAGCTCTCCCTCTGATGAGTCAGCACACTCCAACTAATGGCACATTGCTATCCAAACAGATTAAGGGTGTGAGCTGTAGCCTGGATGCCAAACTTCCATCAAAGCAAGAGGTTAGGACTGAAGAAGGAAGCGTAATTGCTGAGTTGGGATGCACTCCAATAGTGCTGGCCCAAGATGAAGCAGTTATCTCAAGGAACGGACAGAATGAGCAAGTTAAAGATGACAAAGTGGATTCACCTAACCAGAAAGCTGAATTGAAAATTTTATCATCTAATGCTGAGAATCCTGTTAGTTCATTGAACATTGAGAGAGATGAGACTCATCATAAAGCTGTCATAAGTGTACAAGGTGAACAGAGACAAAGTGCAAAATATAATGAGGTTGTGTGTTCGCTCATAGGAGGTGGTGATCCATCTGCAGTTTATAGTTCTGAAAAACCAAGCACAACCGAGAAGCAGACAGATCTTCTGGGCACTGTAACAGATGGATGCAATGGAAAACATGTTTTAAGCAAAGAGGAGGCTGGCATTAAGATCAATGGGGAACATGAAGGTTAGAGTATCTTGTGAAGATTGTGGTGTAAATTTTTACCTTGTTTTTTTCTCACTGGGGGAAAGGGGATTGGAACTTGGAACATCTTCCAGTATCAGGAAGAGAAGTGCCACTAGACTAAGAGCTAGTTGGTTTTTGTGGTGTAAAATCTTTGTCAATGATGTAAATTCTTGTCAGTTTTTTATGGTGATAGTATCACAGTTGAACGATGGATTGATATTATTTGTCAATGATGTAAATCTACGTTAATTTTGAATGGTGATGGTCTGCGGTGCATTACAGTATTCAAGTTGACCTTCGTGTTGAATTGGGTGGTTTTTTTATTTGTATAAAGGGGAGGTCCCGTTGTAGCTAAGATATTTACTCCGGAAATTAAGATTTCAGAAGAACAAAGAAAAAGGGTTTAAGTCTTTTTCCCTAGAAATTTTTAAAGGGCTGTGTTAGTACAAGTTGAAAACGTAGAGTGCATCCATTAGCCATCGATTTCCACTACATGTTGGTATACTCTCTTGTATACAATGGTACATATCCAAACCAGTCGCAAGACCATGACAATGGCTCATTGTCCTTACTTTTCCTTCGGCATTGCAACTATCTCAAGTTGCCAGGGATCCACCTCGAATCAAAACGATCTCTCCTTTCTTTTCTACGCTACGAGATCTCCTCTTATGAAATTTCTAGTTTGATAGAAAGTCCTCTAACTTTCTTATCCGCAGACAACTACTCGTTCAGGTCTAAAACTACAGAAATGTCCAACAAAAGTCGTAGCATTTCTCAACTGACGACCAGCTTCTAATGGAATCATAAATTTCAAGGCCTTATTCACCCTCCAGTAGATCGATATGAGGCTAGGCTAAAATTCATTCCTTCACAGGAAGACAAAATAGTAGTAGAATCCAGGTGATCCTAACAAAAACCTCTTCATGTCAACTAAATGAACTGGATCTGTAAGCCAAGAAAATTAGGTGTTGCAGACAGCTTTCTACGTGAAGATTGGCAGGTAAAGTGTGCAATAAGAAAGAAAGAAAAATCATTCTAAGTTATCTTTTTTCAGATTAGCAGTAACCAGAAATCAATTTCCAATCCCGACTCTAACTGACAGCATGACATTGATCAATTTAAATATATGCATTCACAATGGAATGGATGGGAACAAGTAAACAACAAGGGATGCATATTATTATAAACAGGACCTGTGTTCTTTATGATCCATCTGGCTACCAAACACAGTTTTGCCCACAAAAAGAGAAAAAGTGACAGATCACTTCCCAATACAATGGCACATCAATTTTGAGAATACAGTAACAACAGCAGAATTATAAACAGGACCTGTGTTATTTGAATTTTGTGACAAAGAAAGAGGGCATAAAAGGGAAAATTTAGACTAACCCAAAATTTTAAGAGAAAAGAGCAAAATAGATGGTCGCTGGAACATATAACCAAGCTCCCTAATTACTCTACATGCTAATATCTAATCCGGCTTAGTATCACTTTGACTGAGCACTGTCCCTCCTGTTGTTCTTAAATGCACAGCATCCATCCCAGGAGAAAAAAAAAAGGGAGTTTAAGAAGTTCAATGTTCCCAATGGGCAACTTCTTCCAGTGATTTTCAGGGTGTCCCGCAACCCATCCTGCAAGGCTTGCAGAAATTATGGAGATATGGCAAATTAGGAAGCAAGAGAAGCTTGTTTCTTCCCTTTTTTTCCCTGACTGCTTTTCTCTCCTCCCTTCGTCATTCTGGAGAGGATATCAGCTTGTTTTGTGTTACCCTCTTGATTTAGGCTCTTAATCAAATCCTCAGTGCTACTCCAATCGGTGATCCCTCCTTTCTCCATTAGTTTACACAATATTGAGTATGCATTAAGAGTCTTCCCTGATGCTAAGAGAGCATCCAACACTTTATCATAGCTTGAGAAATCTACACTGCAATCTCTCTCAAGGCAAAATCTAACAGCTTGAGAGCGGCAATTGTTTTCCCTTTCTCAGCAAGAACAGATAGAAGGCTGTCAAACTGAAGTGCACACCCACTTTGCATAAGGAGATCAATTCGTCCCAGTGCTTCCTCAACATGACCTCTCATAAAGAGGGCTTCCAAAATCTTGGCAACCAAATCCATGTTCTCCATCACCCCCTTCTCTACCATACTCTTCATTACTCGGCTTGCAGTTTGAACCCTCCCATCTTCAAATAGACTCTCTATCACTGACCTGAACAGCGATGACTCCGGAATATGCCCGCCTTCAATCATACTATCCAAAGCAGTTTTAGCATCAGCTGGTTCACCTTTACTCAGGTAGCTCTTAATGAGCAGAATGTAAGAATCTGGTTCTCCAGGGATCCCTCTCCTATTCATGATCCTTAAAATCTCAAAAGCAGAATCAGAATTCCCTTCTTTTGCATGCCCACGGAGCAAATTATTGAAGGCAACTGAATCCTCAACACCCTTTTTCATCAACTGCCGGAAAAAAGGCTTCAGCTTTCCCTGTCTGCCCATGGTTGCACAAATACTCAATCATTGGGTGAAAAGCACTACGCTCCAACTCAATAGAATTCTGAGGCCTCAAAATAATTTCTTTCTCAATAAGCTTATCCAGCAACTTGACTGCTTGATCATACACCCCAGCCTTGCAAAAGTTTTCAATCAGGATACCATAATGACCAGCCTCAGTAGGAATTCTCAGCCGAATCATTGCCTTGAGCACATAAGCAGCTGCATCCATATCCCCAGACTTGCACTGTAAAGATAATAATCTCTCAAAGATTGAATTATCCATAGGAGCAATATACTTCGAAACCATTTCCATTAATATCTTGTGAGCTGCATCCTTTTTCTCTGCCTCACAAACCCACGGCAGTAAAGTCGAAAAGGTGACAGCATTCGGCCTAATACCAAAAGACTTCATCTCCTCAAACAACCTCAAACCATCATCAACCCTCCCAACAGAAACATACCCTTTAATCATGGTGGTATAACTTATCACATTAGGTTCTATATTCCTCCCCTTCAACTCTACAAACAACTGCTCAGACTCATCCATCTTATCAACCCGAATGTACCCATGAATCATGGTGTTATAAGTAACAAGATCAGGGGAAATTCCTCTACTTTTCATATCCTCAAAAAACCGCTTGGCGGTCTCTAACTTCCGGCTCTTTAGGAAACCCCAAATCATAACATTATAAGTATGCCTAGTGGGCTCTATTCCCTCACTCAACATGGCATTAAAGTACCTCTTGGCCATCATACACCGACCCCAACGCAAGATAGCCTTATACAGAGCCTCATAGGACTTGAGACTTCTCTCCACACCCAATTCCTTCATTTTAATGAATAACTTAACAGACTCTTGAATAATGCAACCCTTATCGGACTTACCATAGCCATCAATGAGCCCAATGAAGAGGTCCTCGTCCAACCGCACACCTTTCTTGGGCATGTCCAATAGAATACACCGGGCATGGTTGAGCTTCGAATTTCGGCTCAGAATCTCAATGATCTTCAAATGGGTCTCGCGGTCGTGTTTAAACAACCCGGATCGCTCAACCCACCTGAAGAATTGGAGCGCATGCTCCCAGCTCCGAGCGCCGTGCAATACATTCCACACAAGGTTGTGGTCGAATTCGGGTACCAAATTCCGGATCGAGTTCTGTAACCTGGTCGTCCAGACCCGATTCGCCATCATTCTGCAGATGGTGTCCTCTATCTTTTCTGGGTTTGGAGTTCGATGCTGCCTAGCTTTTGGGACATGGGTCGGGGTCACTGATCCATCTTGCGGGTTTGGGGTTTCGGTTGGGGCTTCGGTTGAGGCTCCGGTTGCGGCTTCGGTTGAGCTGAAGAGGCGGAGGAGCGTGAGGGTCTGAGGGTTCGAGGGTCGAGGTCGCCATTGGAAGGGTTTAGAGAGAGAAATGTAAGCCATTGATGGCATGGCAAAGGGTTTGACTGTGTGAAATGGGAAGTAGGGATTGTGGGAGTGTAAGAGTGAGAGTGAAGATCACAGAGCGCGAGGACTGTCGTTCTCACTTGTTAGGGTTTAAGCAGAATTCAAAGAAATATGGGCTTTTTCAATTCAAACATTTGATTTGGGCCACACAAGCATAAGAGTACGTTTTGAAGGCTCTAGCCCAATTGTTCAAAAAGGTTGATCATGGGCAAAAAACATTTCAACATATTTGCCAAGGGCTGGTTTAGCAGTGCTTTCAAATTAGTTACTTGCTCAAATGAGGGAGAGAGGGACATAGTAGAAGTGAGCAACTGTAAACAAAATATACCTAAAGCAAAAACAGTTTCATACTATGATGTTGAAGTAAATCTCCAAATGTAAAATGATTGGAAGGTACAGATACCTAGCATGAAGCAAACAGCTTGTGTAATCACCGGAAAGATGATCTATTACCAAGTGGTTCGTGGTCTAGTGATATTTCTTTTCTCAATGTTTGAAAAACTCGGTGATAAAAAAACAAAAAACAACTAGATGATTTATCGTTTCTGATGCTTCCCCACGTAGGAGGCACTGACATTCAACAATTTTGATGCACTGTAAATCTCTTTAGTATGCAGCCTACTTTGCATAAATTAACATCCACATAAGCATTTTAATTCTGGATGGAAGATGAAGTTTCCAAACAAATTTTAAGCAAACAAGAGAAGATTCTGAATAATATCATACAAGATAATGAAAGAAACAAAGAATACAATACTACAGCATTAACCTGTCTCTGGTTCCTGTCTGCAAATGTACTATGCATGACTAACATAGAAGATTGATCCCTCAATGAATTTTAAAACTAAAAACATAAAAGTAGAACTGATCATCTACATTGGTTGTTCTGGTGGTGGTGCAGCTGCTGCTAGATCGCTGTGTTGTTTCTGTAATGCTGGGCTGGCACATGAGAAGATTGATGGCTTTTGCCTTCTCAACTTAACCCCAAACAAGAAGGACCGCAAGGGAATTCGAGCCTTACTGGTTGAGCGTTTCGGTTCAATGCTCTTTGATGCCACGGAAATTCCAATTTCTTCATCAAGTCTTGCTAGCGTCTTCTCGACCTCTAACTTCAGTCCTCTAACACGGCTAAGACCTGCCTTCAATTCATCATTGACCTTATTATTCTCTTGCTTCATGTTGAGAACCTCGCCTTGAAACTTTGCGGCCTGATATTTGCTTATAAGCTCCATCTTCTCTCCTTCTGAACCTAAATTGGAGAGTCTTGATATCTCATCTTGAATGTGGCACAAAGATGAGAATCTACCCTGCAAGTCATCTTTAAGTACTGCATTGTGTTCCAACCATAAGGACAGTTCAGTTTGTATCTCTCTCAGGTGTCTGTATATTGGCCTGCCATCTGATTGTAGAGACTGCTGTTTAGACCCTCCTTCATGCTTCTTTTTATTCTTTAGTTTGAACAACTCTGACTGTAAATCCTGTATCGATGTCTGGAATTTTTGTATCTGATGAACTGAGGTACTAAACCTCAACCAGAATTCTAAGTTCTCCTCCAGCAGCTCATCAATGTCTGAACGGAATCTTCCTTCAATAGCTGAAACAGAATGGGGTCTAACAACATGCCTTTTCCTCGTTGCTTTTTCTTCCTCCTTTCTAGGTGAGACTTCCAAGTTTCCTGATGAGTCCTCAAATCTCTCTGTTGCTTGTTCACCAAGATAACTGGCAGCTATTTCTTTATCGAAATTTAGAGATGGAACAGGAGAGTACGGTGATGCAGCTACTTGAGTTGGGCTCTCGAGGGAGCCTTCCTGATTTGGATACTTATATACTGTCGAACAGGTGTTAGGACTATCATCCAGATTTGTCTCTGGGGATCCCAGTTTTTGCTTCAAAAGTTTAATCTCCTTGTCCTTCGAAGAAACAACACTCCTCATTTCCCTTATCTCCATTGCCAAATCGAAGATGTTATCCCGGTTTTTCTTCTCCACTTCTCCCAGCTTCTTCCTTGCATCCTTATAATCCCGGAGAATTGAAGTATACTCCTCTAGCAGAACCTTTTCTCTATCCTCTAACCCTTTTAAGAATAGTTGCCTCCAGTTTGGTTGATCTCCTTCATTTGCAAGTTCCAGTTCCTGTGGCTCAACTTCAAGATTACTGTCTACTGTCTCAGACAAAGCCTGATTCTCAACCTGTTCCTGCTGCATTGGCTCCTGAGGCTTTTCAGTCATCAAACCAAGGCTATTGCTTGGATCAGATTGGTTTTCTTCTTCACCTTTGACGGAATTTTTGAGAATTGTAACATCCACTTTCTTAATTTCATCTTCTGTCATTTTGTCTTCCAAAACCACTGATTCTTCATCGGTGGGCGACTTATCTGAATCCACTTTATTCTCCTTTTCTGGTTTGGCATCAAGTGCTCTCACTTCCTGGAATAGTCCTGCGTTCTCATCCTCCTCTTCATGCTTCACACTATGCAATTTTCCAGAGAGATGATCAAGATTACAACTAGCTTCTGTAAAATGCGCTTGGAGGTTGTTATTTTGGTCTTCTACACTTCTTTTTAAATTTTTAATTCTACGCAACTCCTCCTCCAACTCCTTTATCCTTTTCCTCATACTGTCCGAGTTTTCCATCAGAATCTCCTTTTCCTCTTCCAAGCTCCGAATGTGTGCCTGAAGTTCATCTGTTTCTGATTTAAATCTATTTACTAGAGCATTCTGAGATGACACTGCAGTTTCTAGACTCACAACCTTGTTTACAAGTCCATCAATTTTCTCTGCCAGTTCTGTAATAGTGGAGGTGTTTGAACTTGTCTCCAGCTGTTCCAAAATCTTAGACCGCAACAATTCCTGATCATGTCTTTCTTGGTCTACGTTTCTTGTTTCTAGATCAATGTTCTCAGCCTCATCCTCCTCAGTTGGATCACACCAGTCTGCGTCTTTCAAACGAAATTCATCTTTGAGGCCTTCAAACTTCATGCAGGCTTCCCTAATCCTTAGGTGCTCAACTCTTGCCTCTTCTTCTGTTTCATCTTTCTTTTCCTGTAACTTAGTCAAGCTGTCTTTGCATGATTTCAAAGCTGTGGCAGCCATCAAAGTTCGAGCTTCGTTATCTTCGATGACGGTGCCAATGCCATACTCATCTTGTAAGCTGCAAACTCTTTTTTGCATACCAGTGATCTCGTTTTCAAACTCCCAGTATCTGTCATATCCGCGTTCGTACAAGATCTTCACAAACTCCTTTTCAGTTTGTAAGGCCAAAATATCCTTCTGAAGCTTATCAATTTCTTCCAGTGCCTCATCTTTGGTCAGCCCTGACCTTGGAGTTATGGTAGCTTTAAAACAGCTTGTATTTCTCTTAAGCGGCCCCCTCTTTAACATGGATTTGCTCCTGAAATCTTTATTGGGTAATTTGGGAACTTTTGGGATGCTTAATTTGGATTCTTCTGTGGAGGCTTTGTTGGGACCGTCGGAAGAAGTCGATGCTTGAGAAGCAGTTTCCTCATCCTCATCCTCCATTGCATACTGAACTCTCTCTGGGAAAACTGTGGCAATCGTACGGTTGGCACTCTGCAGATCTCTTGACAAGTGATCATATCTCTCTGCTAAAGCCCGGTATGCCCGGAACGATTCTTCGACATAGGCCACTAGCTCTGGCCTCTTCCTGTAATACATTTCTGCCCTCTGTGCAAAGGAGTCCCCATCATTATCAATGATTTTAAGTGTACTATGAACTTTCTCCTCCATATCTGTAATTCAAGACATGTCTGTATGTTAGTATAATACCAACCACATTCTTACAAAGCAGACGCAGGATTAGCCAACTGGGGAATTCAATTCACAATGTACAGCAGCAGTTTAGCTTATGAGACAATGCACTTATAAGAAGTTTTAACTACACAGATTTGGAAGGTGATTATAGTCACTGTAAAAGAAAAATAACAATGTTCTTTGAATTCATGGGGGAAATTTAAAACTGGTGCTCTTGTTATAAATCATTACAGGTTCCCTAGCTACATGGTTACTCTTTTATCTTCATGCTCTCCTTTTCATTCATGTAACTCTTCCTAGAGGTTTTTGTTAGCAATTTTAAAAATTTCTTTGGGAAAATTCATCAAACATTTTCTAGCCGCAGCAGTACATATCTTTCCAACAAATGGGATATAGGGTTTTATTGATGTGGAAGCAAATCTACATAACCTACTAATTCCAATAAAAGGGAAATTAAAGAAAGAAGAAAAAAAACAAAGCAATAATTTTTTTTACTGTCCTCTTTCTTTTTATCATATCAATGGTAAAAGTGGGTAAAAGATATCAAATCTAAAAGGAAGAACAGATTGGATCAATCACAGATCAACAGGAACACTGATCTCACTTATATTATGACAACATACACACAACACATACCTTGAAGGTTCTGTTCCAGCCATTTTGACTGCTTTGTCCTGATGTGGCTGGCCCACCACCATGAATATGCATTGCTTGCTGCTCTCTGCAACATTCTCTCTCTCTCTCTCTAAAGAAAAGCAATCATTATGAACACAAAACCCACAAAGATTATTTCATTCAATCCATTAGAGAAAACCCAAATCACACAATGCAAGCCAGAAGAATAATATGAAGTAATGAATATTGAAGGAATTAAGAGAACATCACGTACAGTTTTTGACAAATGGCCTGTTAAGGACCATACATGGAGGAGAGGATACTTCGCCTGGATTATAGGTGTTGGAAAAGCTCAAAAATGCAAGGCCTTCAGTGAGGTTGTCCACGTGGAACGCTCTCAGTTTGCCAGATTGGTTGTAACCAGGAAAAAGAGTGTGAGCCCATGAAAAGTTTTGGATACTTCTCTTGTTTTGCCGAACTTCTGTTGGAAAATACAAGCTGGATTCTTTATCAGATAATCTTCCCTTTTTTTGGCTATTTCTGAAAGAATGCCATCTTCTGTTCATCAGTTCAAGCTGCATACGCGTATATAGTGACTGTTACTGTTGCTGTTATAACTAAGCTTTCAGCTTATGGGCAAATGTTCTAGGAGAAATTATACCCATAATACCCTATAGTCTTCATGTTTCAAATTTTTTTCATTTCTATACTTTTTTTTAATTAATTGATGAAATGGGCAACAAGCTCCGGTCGTCACATTTAAATCTTACATCAGACTCACTCTTTAGAGAAGCTGATGATATTCAAGTGACATCTAAAAGCCTGTCAACCGATTCCTCAATGACCATTTAGTTTAGTGACATTCAATTTGTTAGAGGATAATTTGAACTCAAATTTCATGGACAGTATACCGTTAATAAATCCAAAAAGAACTCTTGGATCATTACAAATTATATGTGTTGGAACTAATCCAATTGAAGTGACCATGTATCTCTACTTTTTTTTTTGGTGAACTGGAAAGGAAAAACCCCAAGCAACAAAACTCCATAAAATCAACACAAACAAGACGAGGATGAGACACCCCAATCAAGTCGTCAATAACTAAAGAACCTATCGAACTTGGAGTAAAATCAAAATAACACACGCCAAGACCCACGTTATAGCTCCAGTTAGCTAATCCGTCTGCGACACAATTCTTTTCTCTATAGATATGTATAACTGCACATCTATCAAACTAATTCATGAGCTTACCATAACTGCACAGTATCTCTACTTTGAGTGTGAGAAAAAGACACAACTTTGAACTTTCGCTTCACCCTCCAATAAGCTACCCATGACCACCAAATAATGCCCTACAAACTAACTCTTTGGTTAAATCAAGTCGTTGTAGTTTTTATTTGAAAAATGTCAACTTCGATCACTTCTTGGTATCAATTTGATCCTTCAGGGTGTCAAAGTTCTTTTTTTATCCAATTGTGTAAACTATATAGCGTGCAGAATACATCTACATGACCTAATGTGATCCTGAGGACCTAAGGAAAATATCCACATAATTCTAAGGTGATCTTAAGTATTTGTTTCTGAGTGCTTTTGCATGAAGCCTATATGCCCAAAAAAGCCCCATATAAAAATTGTTTCAATCCTAAAATATTTGCACAGAGAGAGATTCATATTATATTTACAAATTTTTTATTATTATTCAAAAAGTATTTACAACAATATGAATTATTAACACGTTATTTACAATAACACCAACATGAAGCTCTCAGAGAGTCATTAGTTTCTTCTCTTCACATAATATTTACAATTTTTCTTTTATGAATATTCATAGATTATTTACAACAAATATTAGGAAGAAGCATTAAGCTTCCTATCTCTCGTACGTCCAGCATTATTTACATCCAAGAATCACATGTAAGGCAAATTTACACATCCCACCTATTATATTTTCTTTTTTTCCTTCCCTTTTTCATTTTTCTTCATTTTCTTAAAAGTTTCCCAAGCCAAAATTTCTCTCTCTTTTTTTTTTTTTTTTTTTTTTTTTTTTTCTTTTGACTTATTATCACACGGTACCATCCTAAATTTTGAAGCAGCCAACTCCTTGCTGGCAAAGACCAAGGCAAATCCAGCAAGAAAGCAGGCCACCTTCTAGCAATAGTAATCCTTCATAAATCTCCATGTCTACTACTCAAAGTTATATTAGCTTGGACCAACATTAGCCAGTCCTCTTCTACTAACAAGTACCCATTTCAATCTGCCTTCAGCTGTTCCTGAGAGAAGAGAGCCACTCTTCCATATATTTCTTGCTTTCTGCACAAGAGAGCAAAATGCAGAGAACAAGTCAGCATAAACTGTCCATTTTACTTGGGAAATACATTTAGCCTTTTCCCATAACTCAAAACCTGGATTACAATTGCCACAAGCAATAGCCTGATCTACAGATCTACAGATACCACGACTTAACAACACAAAAACAAAAGAAACAGGAAATCAATAGACATGATAAGACAGAGCAAGTATGAAATTCCAATGGAATAATGAAAGCGAAATGAACAATAAACAAAGCACCTAACTTCCTGGTAACCACCAGAAATAGGAACAACAATAATGCCAACGAATTCATGATGCCCAATTCAATTTATTGAATATCTGAGAACTCAAGATACCAATGCAAGGAAGGAACAAGGACTATTCAAACAAATTTATGATACGGGCAGAACATAGAAACTTTTATCATTGGGATATCTCAACCAACTGTATGGAAAATCCCTTCCCCAACTACTCCAATACAAATAATCGTCTGTCAAAAGATTGAGAGCTTCATTACCACTACAATAGGTGCCAAACTTATAAATTTAGCAACCAAAAAAATATACTAAACATATAAGAGTTTCCAAATCACATACTGCAAACTGGATGAGAAATTCTGGAATGCAGACAGTTTCTTATAAAAAAATTCAAGACATATTTGGGACCATGCATCCACTTCTTTTGAAGTCACTTCCTGAGTTTTTACTTCCTTTTATTGCCATTTAGGATTCACTTAAAACTGACATAGTTTTAGATGAACTACAGCATCAAAATAATGACTACTAAAATTCAGTGAACACAAAATATGCATGAATATCGAGAAAAAGTGACACTGACACTGTAACATGAAAGGAATAGTGAAAGTCAAGATTCACCAAGTTGAGCGAAATGTCAGCCATTAACTTTCACCAATCCTGTATAGATCTTAAGATCCAATTGTATACACTGTAACTAACTATTGCCTAGCACTTAAGGATGGACTCTACCATTACATACCATATTCAAAAATTTAGACAGTTCTTCCTTCACAATCATGTTAATTTGAACTGTTCAATAACTAACTTCGATGAGCTCTTTTATGTTCCTACCCACAGAGAGGGAGATTGAGAGAGAGAAGAAAAAGTTCATGTTGTATTTAACACAAAAACAACATTAAAACACATTTCACTCCTAAGAATTTAATATCTTAAAACAGTCAATGCCCTATCAAGTCCAACTCTGTCCTTAAACCAAAATTTATGCTGCTCTAACTGAATAAACACATGGCTGGCACATCAGCACTTTGAAAGAGGCTGTTGCATCTTAACTTTTCCCACTCGAATATTCAATCGGTATTTGAAAAGGCAAGTCCCCAATTTTTAGATGATCATTAAATAGATTGAAAAGAATACTTCTAGCCATCAAAATTCTGCATCCTTAACCGAATAATTGACTATAACTTGTCATCCTCACTTATATTACAATATACCAGAAGCAATGGCAGTAATAATTGAACCAACTGTAGTCAATGTTTTCCCTAAGAACAAATCATTAGCAACGCATTCAATGAGTGGAGTATGAGACCCTCATAGTGTAGCCAGAACTGGCTGCAGAGCGATTGTGAAATCAAAACAACAGATGCAAAAGCCCCTTTTCTAAAGGTGGCTAATAATCAAAAGGTATTAAAAATTTAAAACGAAGGTTTGGTTTGAACATTTCATATCAACTATGGTATTTCATCAAGCAAGATATATAAAAGAATTGCCAGAAATTTTTCTTGTAAACAGATATAAATAGGCATAAAGAGAAGCTCTTACCATCGGAATAACCATCTGGGATGTTCCCAACAGTGCTCAAGATATTGCTCTTTGGATCCTTCACCATATCATGAATAACATGCCCATAGCATGGAACCAGCACAGCAAAACTATCGTCTGTATCATCATCACTCCGAAACCCAGGTCCATGAGGCTCCAACCATCCAACTGACCAATCCGAGTCATCAGACTCGGAACCAGAAAAACAGCCTCCCTCAGATGGAACTAGAACAAGATCATATTCCCTATCAATTTTCCGTTCTTCCCGACTATGCCATTTGCGTTTCACCCTTCTTGATGATGATGATGAGGCCATACTGGCCCCCTTAACCGAAGGAAACTTTAAACCATCAGATTCCCACATGCCGGGGTCGGCTGAAGAACTTAAAGAAGATGAATTGGAGATTCTAGGCTCTTTCTGTTTTCCACTCCACAACCACCATGAAAGCTGGGTAAAAGCCACAGCCATTTTCTCATTCAAAGATCTTTTGCCAGTTGCACCAAGTGTCTCGGGCCCAACCAGTGGAAGTGGAAACAGACAATATGTTGGGTAATTTCTGCCTGTTCCTGAGAAGTTTATAAGAAGAGAATTAACCGATGAAAATAGTACAAACCTAATAATAAAATTAAAAAGCATATGCAAGCTCAATGAAACAAATAAATGCTGTTGACACTTACAGAAAAGGGAAATTTTCATAACACATATGCAGAAAAAGCTTTGGCTTGATGGAAATCAAGCAAGTTTGATTATTGAGAAATGAGATGAAAAGTAGAGAAAAATATTGCTATGACTATAGTTTTTGCTCGGAAACTGAAACAGGAAATGGCATCAGCAAAGTGCATTTCTTTTGGCTGAGTCAATAAAACTGTCCTATTTCTCGAACAAATTACCAAGAAATTCAATGTTTCCCTTTTATACTATTCAGTTTTCTGGGCAACCAAACAAAGGTCAAGGTCTAAAGTACAGCTGCAACATTCAATGAATACAGACGCTCAAAAAGAATAAACCGAATGCGACCCAGAAAATCTTGCTAGTCAAAAACCCAACTTTCCGAAAGAAGAAAACACGGTTTTACCAATTATAGCAGTGAATGCAATGAAAGAGTTGAATGGATTTTGGAAAATACAGAGCCAAAAATAAACACAATAAAATTAAACAAGCAGCTCCATTTGTAAGTTCTTCTGATGCAGAAATAAACACAATAATAATAACAAATCACAATATTCACATTTCCAGACCCATGAAAATAGACCAAAACCCAATTTTAAATTTTCTATCTCCGAAACAATAAAGCACTGAAATTGAAGCAAAAAGTTGGAGCATTTCGATCTTTCTTGCTTCCAAAAACAACTTCTCCACGCCAAAATTCACCTTAATTCTTGTAATCCAAGTAGCGCGTAAAAACAGAGAAAACCAAAATTCTTTTCTTGTGATTCAAATTTGGAATATCGAATGGAGATTCAAAGCACCTCCGAAAATGAAAACAAAAATCTATGTATTAAGTAGAAAATTATAAAATTTCGGAAAGCGAAAAGGTATAATCGGCCACTTTAATTTGGTATACCTCGAAGCTTGAAGTTAAGGTTTAATGATGTTATGGGTGCATGCAACCTTATGCTCATATCTAGCGTGGTAAGCCATGTGATGAGAGAAAATAGACGTTCTATTAAGTGATGAGATGACAAAAGGTTTGTGGTTTGAGTGGTTAAGAATTGTATTTGAGGATCTGTGTTCAAATCCTCTCACCTTAATATAAACAAGTGACTTTCTCACATGAATACCATTGTTATATAATTATCTATTTAGATTTCCTCGTATTGTCTAAGTAGTTTCTAAGGAAAGATACGCGAACGACTTGATTATGGTATAGATCGGATGTTTTCGTCGTGAGCAGTAAGCAATAGATCTCCCCTTCATAAATTAAAACAGTTGTCACCGAAAGGTTAGAGTTGGTTGATAACACAAAATGACGATTTATATGACAATTATTTGAATCCCCACTAATCGTATGAGTTCTATACATATGTTGTGGGGTCAGTGTATTATAAGGTCGGTTCTTTATGTATACTTGATATTATTTGATAATATATATTTTAGATTTTGGTGTTTAATTGACAAAAAGAGAGAGAGAGAAATGAGTAAATAGATGAAATATGACACGACACGTAAAATTTGCGAATGAGTTTGGATTTATGTATATTTAGACATGATAAATTAACGATTCGGATTTGAGTTAAACATAATCTCACAAACACATATACATTAAAACATGACACATAGCAATAAATTAGAGCACAGTGATTTATTTAAAAATTCCTGCAAGAAATAGGAAAAACGTAGTGGTTTGAATATTTTGGAGAGTTGAGAACGACATCACATCAGTAACAAGTAGCAGCCCCAAACAAAAGTCCTACTTCTTGTTCCTGGTCACATGAGTAGAGATTACTCATCCAAATAAAGCTCATCAAGTTCAGATATGTCCAACTACATATGGAATTAAATGAATATGATATTTACCTGATCACGTTTTGAATGGGATTCTAAAGGCAAAAGGTGTGGCTGGTAAATTTTGGTGGCTTAGACTTGGGATTTGACCTAAATTAGAAAGGCCATTTCCATTTGCGTGTACATATGGTTCAAGCAACCCACATCCACTTGTTTGGATATCCTTCCCCTTCGTAACTTTAGGCTTAAGGCCAAACAAAGTACAAACATTTTCAATAATTTATTTTTGTTTTTTACCATCTAACTTCTTTTATCTTTGTCGCTTGTAATTTAAATAATTCTAAACAGTTATTCATGCATTCGAAATTCTTTGTTCGAATTCCCTAACAAACTGTGGTGTACAAATTTGATGAGTATGACAATACTCTTTCTTGTTTTAGTCTTTGCGTTTTCCATGAAGTTTTGCCATCCCTTTTTTGAGGCCCACGTCTTGTTGGCAATATTTCCAATCGCTCTTAATGCTTTTTATTTACAATCCAACTCACATTTGGCAATTCGTTAGTGGACAAATCTCTATACAAAATCCTACCACAAAGTAAAATTCTCTTTTGCTACTATCTTATTGGATATAATTTTTTATTATTATTAAATTTTTTTTACAAGGGAGGCTTATGAATGAGATTTTTTTTTTCGAACTAATGCATGTACTTAGCTATCTTTCTTGCATTATATATAAACTAGCAATCCTATAAATGCTATGCATGGACATGTTTTATTTTATTTAGTCATTTAAATTCATTGTTAATTATTGTTGTACTCTTAAGATATTAGATTTGTTTTTTTTTTCTTCATTTAATGCAAGTAGAAACAAGGACATAATTATTTTTTTGTCATTCGCTAGGGAGGGGGAGGGGGAAGTATTAAATTGAGTTGTCTCAAGATTGTCTCATAAGTGAATTGAACCCATATGCACTAAAGAGGGAGGAGGAGAGTTTAACTCACTTTTCCGCTGTAGTGCCTCCCCATGTATAAAAAATTGACGATGAAACAAGGTCCAAGGACATGATTAAAACTTTACAAAAAGAATTGACAACGAATTTTCTCTTAAATAATAGTTTATTTCACGACAGACTACCTATTTATTTATTTGATTTGATAATAAAAATAAATAAAAAGAAGCAATCAATAATTTTATAAATCCCCGATAATATTATAAAACATGACGAGCTCTTATGGCCAACCAGATCTCATGGCCATGCTAAAATTATTGAGGCCAAGTTTGCTTTCGTCGTCCACTTCCAAAGAACAAAGATAGGGACGATTTGTAGTTAGCTACAAGCCTGTAAACCCTAGAACCTTCTCTTAACTGATATAGGTGTCACCAAAACAGGAGGAGACAAATTGATCGAATAAGCTGAGGATTTGACGGGCTTTCAACGATCCAATGAGAGTGATGGTTGGTGCTGGTTAAAGCAACCAACGGCAGCGCTGCACATGGCGGAAGATTGTGCATGAATTATACAAATGGCCCCCAAATGCATGTTCGATCTTAATTCCATCACGTGATGACCCTACCTAATGAGATGCTAGATGTCACAAAATACAATTAATAATATAATTTCTTTTAGAAGAAAATAAAAAAGAGGAGGGATGAAACTAAAATTGACAGAAATCATTGGTAGGACTCACAAAATATTTGCACGCAATCGTGACGTACGGATCTGTTTCCAGTTTGGATAGACAGTTGTAGTTGTAGACTTCAATTATTCGTATTCGTATGGCGAAATGATTGAAAATTGAAATTCATCCGTTTGAAAACCTTCTTCTGAAGAACACGTCAACTATTTTCATATTCAAACTTGTTTTTTTAGAACTTTTCTTATTGAGATGGATGATAATATACTAAATTCATACACATTACACATATGCTTGGACTCGACCTAATACATTCATTGAGAGAGCAATTGCTTCAAATCACTACATTAATGGATCCATTGCATACTTAATCTTAATGTATATAGTTATTATATACATTTTTTTTAATTTTAATACAATCGACACTGAAAAAGGGGGAAATCAAACTTAGGACATCAAGAATAAATATTCTTAACTATTTGAGCTACAAACCCCTTAAAATGTATACACGAATATTATAGTTAATAGGATTGTGCATGAGATATACAAATAAATATCATATATCTATATGACGCTTTGTGTATATTGTATTTTTGCTTTTGACACCTTGTTTTATATAAATTATGTTGCAGGCGTGTGTGTGGTTTGACTTAACTTTCTGTTGACTTGTTCTATTCCCACCATTGTCAAGATATTCATAACCTAGCATGGTCGTTTGAGAGTATTTGTTTTCACTGTAATTTTAAGAAGTTAATTTTGTAGCTGATGTTTTTACTTTTTCAGAGGCATGTCCAAATTATTCCTAAAATATAGATCCACCCCCTTGGGTGTGACCTATACTTTTAACTTTGACTGCTTAGGGTTAGGTTGTATTCAAGAATTTATGTTGTAAAATATATAAAAAAAAAAAAAAAAAAAAAAAACCCTTCTCTTTGAGCATCACCCTAAACTGGGTAGCGAGTAATTTTTACCCTTGAGATTTCTGCCCATTACCCTAAATTGGGACACTTAGCAACAAAACCCATTATATTTGTGTTTGTGGAAAATCAAATTATAAAGCTATCAAGAATTGATTGGGCTTTATGCACCTTGATTAATTACACTTAATTGTGTCACAAACGAGTTTCGGCTTAAAATTATGCGTGAGTTTCATTTTTTTCTATTCCAGCCAATGTTTGAGCCCAAGTTGAGTAGAACCTTAATCTTATGAGTCGGGTCTACCTTCTCCTTTCTCATTCTCATCTGGCAATGCCGTCTTATGTCAAAACCGTCTATATTTCAAGTGATCTTCCCTCGAAAGGTAACCCACAACTTTTGAACCTCACTAAACCAAAGACTCCCAACTTAGAAGCCGACTAGGCAATTGCCAGGGGCCATGGGCTGACAGA